CTCCATTCTTGTTCCTTGTAACATTGATATGAATATGAAAGCTGCTGGTAACTATACGGCATTGCTAATTATACATATTCAATGTGATGTCGGTTCTTCAAGCACTAAATTGTAAAACAGTAAATGACCACACTAAATCAATGAATATTGAAACAAGCAGTTTTAGGTATATAATCACAAAAGGCAATTCAAAGGGTAAATAAGTGGCAGCAAAAAAGTAACAAGCTCTGTCAGTGCCCTAGCGACGTCAAGAATTTGACACTGTAGAATGCCTTGAAAGAGGCCCTTGATCCATTCTTGTATCTGGAACACTGATGGCAGCTGGCAGGAATTCGGTGCTCTCAGGTACTCCCTCCGATCTTGGCAAGTAAATAAGACACAAATCAGGTCGTAAAAGACCTTGAACCAAGCCTTCTGGAAATTGCCTCATCCCGAAACTTCTCGAACAATCAAGCCTGACCCACACGTGTCTTGTGTCTTGTTCGTCAACAATCAGTCTGGCATCTGTAAGTTAACACAAAGGCATTATAACTCCACATCACGCTTCAGGTTCAGATTTGTTACATTTTGATGTTACGAACTTTGACTTACACAAATTGATTGTCCAACTGTGTAATCCTCACCCCCTTGCTCCAGATCGCAGTGGTTGTTAATGGAACGATTGGCGATCCTGTGTTGGGGTTGTTCTTCTTGGGAGCTATTTTCCCCAAGGCCAACAAAGTGGTAAGGGGGATTTTAACTTATTCTCCCAGTTTCCAACTTAAATGATGATGGTTCTCAATAGATACACGAGTGACGATTGTGTTAGCAAGAATAATTTTCGCCTAAAATCTTATAACAACTTATGGGAATACTAAAACCTTCAACGCCAGTGGATGATCAGTCTTGATTTTCACCGGAACATTATATGGATGGATCACTGAAAAGCAGTAATCATGTCCTACCCTGAAGGTATTTACATAACATATCTGGCAAATTAAGAATTATGTACTGTTCTCGTAAATAGTGGAATACCACATGTGGGTTAGTTAGACTGATGAAAGGTCTCTAATTGTTTGTTATTTGGGACAGAAATATCTAGGGGGGGGGGGGGGGGGGGGTAATGAATGTTTTAGCTGACACTGAAAGGGTTCGGGTTTTTTACGTTTGTAGGGAGTTCTGTGTGTATATCATCTGACGGTTACTGTCACAGTCAGAGTTCTACAAAAACTACTTGGAAACAAGCCGACAACTCTACATCCCGCACCTGTAGACGCATGCGCAGGAGAATCATATCTAGAAGCGAATAGCACCATAGCATTCACAACCCAAAAGCTTCGGAATTCAACATTACTACATTAAGAACTGTCATCATGAGAGGTATGCCGTTTCCTATGTAATACTACTCAAAAGAAGTTAAGGGTCAAAAGTATTTTTACATATAAATATAAGCAAACGCTAATGGTGACGACTGATAAAAAAGTAATTCTTTGATGTCTCAAGAACAGAAAACACAAAACAAATAACTTCTGGTTGGACACTTTTTTATAACCCTGGTTTAAAAAGTCAACCCCTGTTCACGCAAGTCGCAGAAGCTACAGTGACTGGTGTAGCCACTGTTAAAATAACGATGACCAGTCAAATTTCCGTTGACGATACACAGAGAGGTTCTGTGGTTCATCTATACCCCCGCCGACACCATCACACTTCCTCCTCCAAATGGTAGACGTTGAGCAACGTTGACATCAGTAAATCGCTCTTCTTGACGAAGATGAACACGAGCCCAACCATCACTGAGCTGAAGCGTGACTCATCTGTTAACATTGTCTCTGCCCACTGACCACGGTTCCACCTGATGTATGCACCAATCTCGGCGAGCACTTTCATAACGGTCAGGGGACACGGATGGCCCAGTCGTCAAAGGCGCAGCGAGAAAATGCGTTATTTCATTAAAAAAAACACATGAACATGCCAAAATGTCAATTTACAAATCAATAGCGTGTGTGTCTACCTCCGGTTGCGATGCAAGCAACACATATTCGTCTCGTGGAATGGACCAGGCGTCGCACAAAGTCCTGTGCGATATCTGTCCATATCTGCTGGAGCATGTTTCGAAGTTCCTGGAGTGTCTGTGGAACAAGTGGTTGACATCGAAGGCGCCGATCCATCTCATCCCACATGTGCTCGATTGGTGAGAGATCAGGGGAGCAAGCCAGCCAGGGGATGACGTTCACGTTGTTTTGTTAAAGAGAATCCTGAACAAGTCGAGCATGAGGTCGGGCGTTGTCATGTTCAAAGGTAATGCCTGGGTCATGACGACGCAAAAACGGTAGAACAACAGGGCCGATGATCTCGTCCCGGTAGCGCTGTACATTGATATCTCCTTCTACCACTATCAAACGGGTCCTCTGTCTTGCTGTAATCCCACCCCATACCATAACGCTGCCGCCCCCGAACCGATCTTCTTCCATGACACAATGATTGACGTAACGTTCACCTCGACGTCGGAATACTCGAATCCGTCCATCACTGTGGCTGAGGTGAAAACGAGACTCGTCGGTGAATAGAATGTGTCCCAACTGCATGGCCGTCCAGCGTAGACGCTGTCTGCACCACTGTAGACGTGCTTGGCGGTAGTTTCCTGCCAAAATGGGACGTCTGGCGACAACCCCTGCACATTCGAGGCGACGACGTACGGTTTGTGAAGATATTCATCGAAGGCCAGGGATGCTTCTTGCAGTCACTGATGCTGGCTGGAATCGATTTCGTAGGTGTGTTGTTCGAATCCAGTTGTCTTGTCGATTATTGGTTGCGCGTGGCCTGCCACTCCGAGGATGGTCTCTGACTGCATTCGCCTGTTGCCGACATTGCCGTAAACACCAAATGGTGTTTCTGTGGACGTTAAATTGTCTTGCAACATCACGTTGACTCGATCCTGCTTCAAGCATACCAATGGCTTGCAGACGCTTATTTTCGGACAGGCGTGGCATTTCGTAATGTTGAATAATTGCGTAATTCTGTTGTTTTTCTGAGTGGTTGCTGTCAGCACGATGCTAAACAATACATATGGAATCCCGTTAAAGCACATGTTTTTATACCCATTCTTGGGTAGTGAAATGCATGGGGCTTGCATAAAAGTCAACTTTTGCATGGAAAGCATGCTTTTTATCCCCCCGGCATATAATGCGGGGGGATATAGCGATCAGCCAGTCTATCTGTCCGTCCGTCCGTCCGTCCGTAATCATTTCCTTTTCCGGGGCAGAATTCGAAAACCATTCAGTGTATTTGATTGAAACTTGGTAAAGCTATCAGGCACATACTGAAGTGGTGCCTTTTGATATTTTGGGATTTTTCTAATTTTTATTTTTTTAAAATTTTTATGGAATGAAGTTGGACATAGACTCAATAGGGGATGGGGTTGGTTTCCGGGACAGAATTCGAAAACCATTCAGTGTATTTGATCGAACCTTCGCAAGGCTATCAGGCACATACTGAAGTGGTGCCTTTTGATATTTTGGGATTTTTCGAATTTTTTTTTTTTACATTTTTATGGAATGAAGTTGGACATAGACTGAAAAGGGGATGGGGTTGGTTTCCGGGACAGAATTCGAAAACCATTCAGTGTATTTGATCGAACCTTCGCAAGGCTATCAGGCACATACTGAAGTGGTGCCTTTTGATATTTTGGGATTTTTCGAATTTTTCTTTTTTACATTTTTATGGAATGAAGTTGGACATAGATTTAATTTGGGATGGGGTTGGTTTCCGGGGCAGAATTCGAAAACCATTCAGTGTATTTGATTGAAACTTGGCAAAGCTATCAGGCACATAGTGAAGGGGTTCCTTTTGATATTTTGGGATTTTTCTAATTTTTATTTTTTTTAAATTTTTATGGTAAGAAGTTGGACCTAGACTCCATTGGGGAACAGGTTCGATTCCGGGCCAGAATTCGAAAAGCCTTCAGTGGGTAAACAATGTATGCTTCTTAAAGAACATTCAACTGTTGACTCATTACATACAGAATTGCACATTTACTAGTGGTTCATTTACAGACAGCTGCCGGGGGGATATGTCATCTTTCTGATGACTCTTGTTTGTAGCAGTTGTGTTTTTGTGACTTGTTTGAAAAATACACTAAAATATTGATGTCTCAGAAACTTTTGTTGTTTGGTATATATAAAACAATACTGCATTGGGCAAGTGATGACTGGTGTAAAAAAATTACTATTCTAAGTGATATGTTTGTAACAGAAGTTACCTTCCTCACGATGTACATGTGCATGACTATGTACTGATTCTTTGTCATCATGCAATGTGTGCTCTCGAAACCCTTATCGTAAAAAATGATGTATGTTGAATTCAGTTTGCTTTGATTTTATTTGCATGTATGTATCTAGTGTGTACACTTCAAAGGATTATCCGCTTGCAGGTGCGACATATGTATGAACCTTGGGGCCTACCGTATGATCTGTGTGCCTGCGTGTCTGCGAGACTTCTGGACTTGCTGCATTACTCATACAGAAATATTTTTTTGTCCTTTCAAGTGCAAATAATTACATGTGTCGGAAGAATACGAAACTGATTCAGTGATCTTTCCAGGCTCTCCTATTAGTTGATTCTTGTAGTCCTCTCGCCCGAAATCCACATTTGTTTAAGGTTTGTATTTGCGGTTCGACAGCTCAACCCAGGGTCTGTTGAGATAGCTGTGTCTGGAATTCGGTCTCCGTTGCTTTGGTTTTCCAATTGCCGTGGTAAATTGTCTAAATTGGACGCGCGATAACACACACTTGATCTCCGGGTAGGTCGCTAGTGTTAACAATGAGCAGTCCCAATGAGGTGAACAGATGTAACAACCTAATCCATGCACCAGGTTGTTGTTGTGATCGCCTATTAATTAAGGCTACACTACAAGAGATGAATGGTTGATATCAGTACCATGATTATAATTTAATGTGGTAATGACAAACGACATCCATGGCCATGGGTTCATTCGATTAAGCGAATGCTGTTTCTTACAAACACATCACGTTTTAAATGTTTTATTTTTCCAGAAGTAAATAAAAATGGATAAAACACTTCAGTCTTAAATTTTTCTCCACAGAAAGAAGGAACGATTTTAATTTGTATGATTAAAACTGTCTGCCGATTGTTCAAAATAAGCATGTCAACGAGGATATGGGTGAGTGTGGTTTTACGCCGCTTATAGCAATATTCCAGCAATATGACAGGGGGACACCATAAATCGGTAAGACTATGCATGATCTATATATGCATAATGCCTATCAGAAACAATTGAAACATATTCTTCTAATGATTTCAAATCATTACGTAATCTCATGAAACAATATACTGTGTAATGTAACTTTTACCATTTAATTCACCTATGGGGGAACAAAGAATATATATATATATGTCAACATGAGTATTCTTTGAAACAAACATGTGTTGAGTTATGACACATTGACATACACAAACTATATCCTACATTGTTTATTCCACCACATTTGAGACGCGTGAAGATCCTGGGTAGAATAAGTCTTCAACAACCCATGCTTGCCATAAAAGGCGATCGGGTAGTAAGGCTCGCTGACTTGGTTGATGCATGTCATCGATCCTAATTGCGTGGATCAATGCTCGTGATATAAATCACTGGATTGTCTGGTCAATATTCGATTATTGTAGACCGCCGTCATATAGCTGGAATATTGCTGAGTGCGGCGTTAAACAACCAACCAACTACCACATTTGACATTAATAATATGACTTTAAGTCGAACATAAGACAACGAAATTTCGAGTTTCAATCATGTAGCTAAAAAAAAGTAGAACGTATTTAAATGTCAATTATTATAAGAATAATGAAAACTTGTTTCCAAGTAAAAGGCACACATTCATATGCGTTTTCATCCAAGCCTGTAGTTTCATGCAAGCGGTAAGCCGCTTTGTTCAAACGCAAGATCGAGGTACTGTAATGTTTTCTGTTGTCCAGACATTGTTGAACATTGTGGTTGCAGTATATGCATGTGTCCTAAGACGTTTACATCCTCTTTCGTTTATTGACGCTTTCCCTCTAGCAAAATTGAGCGGGTAAAACTTTAGAAGCATTTGATCAGTTTGTGTGTCACATGTTTACTAAAATAGTTCAAATTTTATATTCAAGCAGTAATACCATAACTATACACCAAGCAGAACAAAACATACATTTGTAAAATCTGTCAATACATGAAATCATTACGGTAAATATCACAATGTAAAGCAAACCAGAACGATACAAGTAACAAGAACACATCAACAGTGTATCTTTCCCATATAAAAAATAGCAAGATAGTTATTCAGAATTTCATGTTCACAACTTATTACACAGATCAGATTCCTAAAATTGTATTGAAAATCAAATTATCGGTTAAAAGAACAAGCAATCAACCAATTAACCAGATAAAAGGATCTTTCCGATTTGTTACTTCATAATAAGAAACCAATCTGAAACATCCTCATCGGTTTTAAACAAATATTCATGAGCTAATCGACTGTTGCCGTACACAAAACAGTATGGAATATTATTGGTTAAATCACATGAACTATATTCAAGAATGTAGGGAAATATTAGAATAAATCATATATCCACATGTAGCATACACATTAACACCTTGAACGACCTTAGGTTGAGAATAAATACCCAGTGCTTGTCGGACTAGCTGTCCAAATGGATCGGGTGTTGAGGATAGGTGACAAGGTTGATTGCGTGTCGTGTAATGGTTATGTATGTAGACACAAATTCCAACATCAGAGAGTCACATTCTTTACACTGTTCCCTGTTCTTCTTTACTCCCGAAATGTGATGAGGTACTTGGGATAGGCCTGGACGTCGTTGAACACCACGTACATACTTGGATGATCCACGTTGTCAACCAAACTGTCGTACAGGATGCTTGGGTGTTCAGGGTCTAGAGGTGGGGGGACTACCATGCCTGATTTTCCTGCAGTGAAGTGTCCAGTGAGGACGGATGCGTAATAGACGTGCTTGATACCATCTTCATTTGGACGGGAGTAACCGGAGGCGGAGTAGCTGGGACTGGCAGCAAAATAAGTTCCCTTTCCAAAGGAATGGGCTGTAACAAAAAATTTAGATTTAAAGGACAGTTTATAAACACCTCTCTCTCTCTCTCTCTGTCTCTCTCTCTCTGTGTCTCTCTGTGTCTCTCTGAGTGAGTGAGTGAATATGGTTTTACGCCGCTTTTAGCAATATTCCAGCAATATCACGGCGGGGGACACCAGAAATGGGCTTCACACATTGAACCCATGTCGGGAATCGAACCAAGGTCTTCGGCGTGACGAGCGAACGCTTTAACCACTAGGCTACCCGACCGTCCCTTATCAATGAGGAACTCCACCATTTCACATATTGTTTTCTCAGTACAATTTAGAAATCTTTCCTAAAAACATAAACCATTTTACGATTCCGATCACATCACGAGTATATGGTGATGAATCACTATCAAATAGTGATGGTACCAAGTGTTCTCGAAATGGTAGCATCACAGGCGCATGAAAAGGCAAGTCAAATACTTAAACATACGGTACAGTCAGGTCAAAACAGAGAATTGCATCGGGTATCACTTTGGTGATAGATGCGTCAAATTTGGAAATATCCTAAACATAAGTTATCTATGCCAGTTTTGCTCAAGCTGTAGAAATGGTCCAGATTCTTGGTACACTTAAGCGTCTACCAAATGAAATAATCCGGAAATAAAAGGCCGTTTGTATATTTGTGACAGCCCGTTGAATGTGATATGGGTCCAAATGGACACAAATGGAAAAGAACGAGTACCGAGCAGGCACCAAGGTTTTCCCACATGTGTATGGGTATAATTGCCCAAGTTATTCCACTGTTAAACGTTGGGAAGCTATGTTTAAGGCTGGGAAAACATGCCATGACGATGACCTTAGGTCTCGACGTCCCTCAACTTCCATCAATGAAGATTCAATCAAGGAGATAGAAAACCTTATACTATCAGATAGACGTCTTCCCATGTTGACTTGATGAAAACACAGGTTTAAGCCATGGATCCACTGAAACTATTATTCATGAACATTTACAGATAAATAAGGTATCTGCTCGTTGGGTGCCAAAGTTTCTGAATTCTGATCTGAAGGAAAAAAGTACTGTCATTGCCACAGAAAAAGTAGAGCTAATTGAATAAGATTTCGTCAAATTCAAAAGGAAATAGTCACGGGTGATGAACCATGGAATGGCACCATTCCATATCTCCGGCACCAAAGAAATTCAAGTCTTCAAGATTAGCGAAGAAAGTTATGGCCACTGTATTTTGAGATGCAATGAGTGTGATCCTTGTTGATAACTGAGAAAGTCAAAAGACGATTGCCGGTGCCTACATTGCTCATTTGCTTAATCGCCTGAGAGATTCTATCAAAGAAAAGCGGTGAATAATGCTGACTTTGGGTTCGAAGAGCTACCTCATCCCCCATACTCGCAAGACCTGTCGCCAAGTGATTTTCACCTGTTTTCTAAACTGAAAGAACAATTCCGTGGAAACCTCTATGACGACAGCGATGACTTCAAAGCTGCCGTGAATGGTCATTTGAGGATGGCTTTAGGACATTTCTTCCTGACTGGAATTAAAAAGTTTCAGTATCGATATGAGAAGTGTTTTGAAAAGCAGGGAGATTATGATGAACATTAATTAAAAGCATTTTCACAATTGTTGGTTTTGTATGTTAGGCTTCCGTACAATGACAGGAAAGCGAATTTCAACATTTACCGTCAAAATTCGTCTTGGGTGACGTCGCGGGGACAGGACAATAATTCTTGAACATGATCGGTACGGGGTCGGTAGTGGGGCGGTAGCACCCATGACAGACGAACTGATTTGGCTACTGTGAATGGTCATTTGATTGGACAGACATTTTTCGTCCTGTCTTTGGTCGACACATAAGAAAATCTAAACTGGAAGATGACAATGCCAGACCACATGGTGCACAGGTCGTCACAGTCTCCGACAAGAGGACATAGGGACATTGGACTAAGTCCCCCGACATCTGTGGGATATTCTCAGGTGGAGAGTGTACGCCAGAGACCAAGTTCCCGTCAACGTGGCCTAGCTTGGGATAACTCTAGTAATGTAGGGCGATAAAAAGGGCAACTTTGGGCAAGTTACTCAACAGTAAGCCGTGTATATATCAACAAACATTGTGGACACACCAGATATTGATCTACACGCCCTATATTAATCTTGCAGACATTTATCTCATTACAACTATCATTTCATCAGTTCAGTTATTGTTTTGTTGGTGGTATTTATTTTTGTGTCCCAACCAATGTTACCAATTTAAGCTGTTATTTGTGTTCTTCTAATTCGAAGACTTCAGGGTGTAAAGGTACAAGAAAACAGTTCCCCTTTGAAGCTTAGAAATCGGAATCTATATTGTGAACAACGGTCTTCTCCTGCTATCAGCTATGTACAGCGTCAGGGAAAAACAATTCGCTCACGCTTTGGAAACAGTGGGAGTTGATTCTGATAAAGTTGTTTTATCTAAGTTTTATACAGTGTATAACAGAATTAGTATTAAACAAACGAGAACGAAGTCTCAGCTGCATAATCTACATTGAAATAGGCCATAGACCATATTGCTTGGAATCATGGAAACTAACCTCTTCTTCCTGCATGTTTCCCCAGCAGGACTTACGTGTGAGCATTTGGGTGATCCGTGGATGTGTGCTAAGATAGCATTGCTTAAAACACAATAGACTAATGCGGTCTCACAAACAGTTTGCTGAGATTGGTGTTCACGTAACACAGGTCTATAGTAGCATATCCTCAAATATAGATAATCCGTCACACATTACCAACACGCTGATCTTGACCTATCATAGAGGAAGCTCAAATACAGCAGAAACATCTCCCGGATTAGGCTGGCATGTCTTACAATAGTCAGTACGTTTTTGAGCAATATTGCTTTGTAAAACTCGGGAAGTTGTTGATACACATACACTGTATTCACTGATACCCTAAACGATGTTCTGTGTTTATTTGTTTGAAAACGTGTAGGAATTCAATAATGTACACAGTTAATTTGGTAGTAATTACAGTACAAATCTTGTTCACGCCCATTTTTTTTAGCATACTTTTCTATTCGCAGTTGTATCATGTCTTTGTGATACATAATCCTGACAGTCAAGTTAAAACTGTGATGATTTTACAGGAATGTTGAATCTTTTAGTGATGAAAATATAAATCGATTCTCATCAACAACTGAAAATCGACATATTCAGCTAGTGAAAATTATGCAAATATAATGGTTGCATTATTTCAAACGCTTCTTGTCTGTCGTCCTTGAAATCAATATTGAACTTGAAGTGCTGAATATTGTTGCATTTGCTTTGTAGACAGGTACCTGCTACATAGCTGCGACTGAAACCATGAAGATTTATACTGGTCACAACATCTCCCTTTGTTCCGTGCCATAGGTGTCTCTCAAGATCCACATCCGGGTTCTGTGTTGCCATCTGGTGCAGGAGCATCACATACTGGAGATACAATGTGCGGTTCTGGATTCTCTTGATCTGCAATGTAAGGACTTGAAATTGCTGTTATGCATACTTAGTTTGTCTTTCAAATATCATCGTACCGTCAAAGTAGAACACCTACAATAAAATTAAACTTACCATGCACCTCATAGGGAGTAATTGCAGCGTATAACAAGAAGGCTACTCAAACAGCTCAGGGCGACGATGTTTGCTACAAGCTATTGAACACCTCTAGCATATACTTTGCTGAGAAAACAGTAAGGATCACTGAGAATAGAGAATCACTGTCCTATTCAGGTCTAACACAGCAAGCACAAATTTCCCAGTCTTGAAAGAATATAAGATATCACATTTCTATTAATGTACCTAGAGACTAAGTCTTCAAGTTTTAGTTGTTTAGTTTGTGTTTTAGTAAGGGAGTGAATCTTGTTTTACGGCAGTTACCAATATGCATCCTACATCCTTAAAATCAATTCCGGGAAAACCAGCTCAGTATAGAATCTATAATTGTATTTACAAACAGGGATGTCATTAATGTGGAAAAGCATATAACTTATTTTCTTAAGCTTGGGTTGCAAACTTTAAGGGCATGGTTCTTTCAGATTTGAATCTATAGAACAATACTCCCCAACGAAAGAATGCAGTCAGACTGAAGTGAGTAGTGAGTTGGGTTTTAAGACATGGTTCGCATGTGATATTAACATCAAAAAGAGAAGAGGTGCGAACAGCAATGCGTCACATGATCTCAGTTGACATAAGCTACTGAAACGTTACCTCAACAATCGTATATCGATTCTTCACGCCTGTATTGAATTGTCTAGCCACCAACTTGTATTCTTTATCTTCAGGTTCGAGCTGTACTTCGCTCATAAACTGTTCCTCAGTCATTGGACTCCAGTGTCCAGGCAGTTGGATGTACCCAGCCATGCCCACAGCTACAGCAGAGAAAGCAAAAACTGCATCATGTATAAGATCTAGCCTCAAATAAATCCTGTGTTTACTAGGGTAAGAAATATAGTCTACTGATCACCAATGTGCTAGGTAATAACCTGTCGTCTGACGAGAGAATGACTTTCAAAAAGGACTGCCAGAACGGTTTCGGAACCAAAACCTAATGCCCCAACACAGTGAACGGTCGTAAAATCGCTCAGATTAGTAGTGCACATTCTTATCTGCAGGCCTATCCGGAAGCGCTCCAATCTTGCTTCAATGCAGTATTTGTGATCAAACTGAGAATTCTCGATGAACGCATAAGGGCTATTAGCATGCTTCAAAATAGCAGAACTCGTCGAAAGATAGTCAATATGTTCAATGTGTCTCAGTCTGTGATTTGCAGACTTTGGAACAGATTTCTGCAGACACTGCGTGAATCGCAGATGAGTCATACGAACGTGGGGTGGGGTCATTATGACTGCCAGAACGCTGGTGCCCACTGTAAACGTATCGCGCCTCACTACCTCCAGCAGCAAAACATCAACAGAATGCATAAGCCAGCCCTGTGTCCTGACCCTCCCACTATGCACGTCTGGGACAAGTACACCGACGTCAAAGGCCACTGCTGCATAAGGCAAACTAGGCAAGGTGCTGAAAAATTGCCTCAAATTGCCATTTGGAGATTGCTTTGGACCATATAATGAATGTTTGACCGATGGCGGAAGCGTGGGCCAAACGTTGTGAAATGTAAACACAAAAGGCTGGAGCTGCTGGAATATTGCTCGACATGAAGGGAAAGTTGACTATTGGACAGTCGAAGTCATACAGTCTTGTGGAGAGTGTTTTGCCTATGCATAAATATTTTGTCACTATCTTTATGCATAGATCTAAGTATGAAAAAGATGAGGCGGTCTCACTGGTCTCTTTATTTCTAGTTCAGGTGGTAAATAAGTGGAAGGGAATTGGCTATTTGATTGTTATTGAACGATATCAGATCGTCGATATACCTGAGGATTAAGTTAACCTTCTTGGCCAAATTACCTTTGTTTTGACTTCAAACAGAAATTTCGAATCATATGCATCAAGAATCAGATCCGTAAGAGTGAGTGAGTGAGTGAGTATGGTTTTACGCCGCCTTTAGCAATATTCCAGCAATATCACGGCGGGGTACACCAGAAATAGGCTTCACACAGTGTACCCATGTCGGGAATCTAACCCGGGTTTTCGGCGTGACGAGCGAACGCTTTAACCACTAGGGTACCCGACCACTCCAGATCCGCAAGAAGGGGAGCACAACTGGTGCCCATGGGGATGCCTACTTCTTCCCTAAATGTTCTTGTTATCAATGTGGAAGTCCAGCATTTGCCATATTGTTTTCCCAGTAAACTTGAGATGGCATTTGCTTTCATTTCCACAAATCGTCCTGAACCTCTGAATATAGATACGTAAATCGGACATGTATTATTTTCTTCTTCTTTTTATTCTGTTTAACGCCGTATTCCGCAATATCCCAGCTATATCACATATAGGTCTATAAACATATCAAATCTGGACAAGACAATACCGTGCTTGACATCATGAGCATCGATTTACCCAATTGTGAAGCGATGACATGTATCAACTACGTCAGCGAGCCTGACCACCCTTTCCCGTTAGTTGCTTCTTACGACGGGTTAATAAAGACCAGTTATAACACGGATCTTCACGTGGGTTGCACTTTATGAGTCAACACTATATTGTATCACAAGAAAATAGCACGCTTGACGGTTAAACTATAAACAATGTGCTATTTCATTGACGTTTGTTAATGTATAAATACATCACTGTTCAATAACTGCACAAGGACATGGCAGTACAGAAACTGATTGGGTAGCATATATTATGGAATACATTAATTAATAATACGTCTAGTACGTAACCTTTTCATATCTTGAAGTATTTTGTACGAAGTAAAATATTGAATCTCGCGGAAGTACCTGTTTCTAATGTAAAATCGCTTGTTGAGGAATATACTGGACGCACATCTGGGACTGCTTCAGCTGGCATGGCACCGTCAAAGATCTGTAGCAAATTCATAATGAACAATAAAGAGGTTAGTGCCTGGGTCGTGGTCATTTGTGAAACAAGAGCCAAGCAGAAAATGTCTCACATAGCATATGGATGGATATTTGTCTTACTTATGTCCTGAAAACAACTAAACACAGCACAAAATATGACCTTTGAGCACACTTCATCATTGTACACGTGTCTCCCATAAAGACTCAAATACGTAATTACCAGAAAGAAAACATTCACTGTGAGGTGAAATGGGGTTTAGCGTCGCGTTCAAGATTATTGCATATAATTATAGCAACGTGCATGCACGTGTGTGTATATGTGTGGCTGCTTGAACTAGTCAGGGCTTATGTTGGGTTTATAGTGCTAGCTAACTGAGCTACCATGCCGCAGTTCAACATGAATATCCCACTCAGACAAAATAAACTGCCTCCAAGCAGGATAGCAACAGGTACCATCGTTTTACGTCTTTTGGTTTGACGCGGACGGGGATCGAACCCCGGACCTTCCACTCTGCGAGCAGGTGATCTACCACTAGAAAGTGGAGGCGGTCTTCACTGTGACACTAGGTGTTACGTGGTATGCCGTCTTGTTATAAGAGTTGCTTTGCTTGGCATATGTCTCAAAGTATTAATTTTCTAAAAATTGTAGCTTTGATAAAAAGACATCAAACTTTATTTCAACTTGGATTTTCTTGATACTATGAGTGAAAAGAACTATCAATCAGAAAACAACACTTGGGTGTTATCATTGAAAGGAAACAACCATGGCTCTTTCACTGAAAGGAACATGCATGCTAAATGTCAATATTATCTCTTTCAATTTCGGGGGTTACAGCTTTATTGATTTAAGGGGATTATCGACAGAATCACATATATTCCACCAAATTCTGGATCATATCATGCCTCAAACAATGAAACCCACACCTCCAAACTTTTCTTGTCTTCTGGATACACAACAAGTCGTGCCTCTCGCAGGGAAGAATCAGGGCTGCTTGTTTTAAATTGATCAAAGCTCTTGAAGATACATTTTGCCACTTCATCGCATGGAAAGTGCAAGTTCCCTGTACCAATTATAGGGAAAGCGATGCTCTTCAGTTTCGAGCTCGAGGCCTTGGTCAGACATTTTACAAAAAATGCTCTGTAATTCTGGAACACAAAATTCATTTACGGGTTACGTTTTGATACTCAGGCTATATATATTAATTCAAAAGTATAATTTTCAAAACTTCCCCATGTAGCTTTATGTGTATTTGTGCACTCACACCATAATGTATTCATGCCTCCCATTATTATCACTAGCTATGACGTCATATGCTTTTTGACGTCAAAAGCTTAACGTTGGCTGTCGCCTAGGTCTACGTTTTAATTCTCCCTCTATTGTCACTATTACATCTAAGGCATTATGACGTCACAAATACTACTGTTGTGCGTCGCCAAGGGACTACAATGTAAGTTAAGGTTTTCATTACAATTACTGAAGAGCGATTGAACGGCGAAAGATCTTGTGTGGATAAAGGAGTTTTGACAAGCACGAATATCTGGACTGCATATATCTGGATATACAGAACTATCAGTCTGTAAAAAACACTTCTGGCAAACCATGGTGTTTTCATTGAAAGGAACATGCATGGAAATGCCAGCTTTTTCTGTATATATTTAACTGAGTTATTGCATTTAAGAGTTTGTTATTTTGGTGAAGATTGATCACCCATGTCCACATTTCGCTGCAAGCTGTAACTGGTTAAAGAATCTATCTGTCACAGGCATCAACTTGGCAGGTTTTTCATTTGGTGCCCATTATGATTTCCGTCACTGCTTCAAGATCGAGAACATAACACTTTTTTCAGGTCCAGCATGTCAAACTTGTAGAACTTGATGCAACATTAATGATGAATTACCTGCTCTGACCACCCTCCCAGGGACGTGTGGTATATTCTCCGACTCGGAAGAAGACCTCCTGAAGTCTCGGCTATCTCTTCCGTCTTAACACCTGTGGGATAGTTGACCCTGCACTCTTCTTGTATGCTGTTTCCCGCAGCTTTATATATTGCTGCAGAAACTTGCCCACATCTCAAGCTGAGGCTCGAGCTAGTCGAATTAACAATCACATCAACCTGAAATCATGTATCATTAATTTGTAATTAATGTGTAATTAATTTGTGATTAATTTATTTCTGTATTAATCCAAGGGAAATAATCCTATGTGCTCACGGGATTGTTTCATTAAATACATATGGAAGCAAGAATGTAGGTGACTTATCCATGTTGTGATGATGTGTAATCATCTAGTTAATCCTATAAAAACAACACATTCTGGCCATACATTATTTCCCGTGCGAAATATATTTAATATGTGCTGACGAGTTTGTTAGACTATAAATGGGACAGTTGATTCTGCTACTCTTGATCTTAAACCTGGTGACTGTCACAGAAATTGCCAGGTAAATAGAAACCGACCATCAATTCTGGAGGTCTTGATCAATGGGTGCACAGAGGTTTGTAACGTAGAGTTACAAGATATACAGCAGCAACAAGATACATGGTCACAATCAGGGTCAGTACTACACAAACGTATATAAAAGGAAATTGATGTAACGATAACGAGGTCAACTCACCAAATTCGTTCGATGACGAATTCCACAATGTTCACTGTAAATGCCCGTATACACTTATTTCAAATATATTATGAAAACAACCCAATCCGTTCTTTGAGGCCAAGCATAACAATAAACCAAAAAAATGGTCAGTTTGCGGTACATATTCTGAACAGGGATATTTGCTCGGAATCGTAAAATAAAGATCTTTGAGCTTCTGAAGACGCTAGCTCCCAAAGTATGGCTTCGATTGTTTTCGGTTATGTCTTATTATTATCTTATTATTTTGAATACTATGAGAAGTTTTCAATATGTAAAAGTCATACCGATCAATCTGTTAAAAGGAACTGAGTAATGTCAACTGCAACATATTACTTACATCCTGATGGACAATGTCTCCTTTGACAATAGTCACAGAGAAGGTAGATCCGAGTTCTGTACGTGAATAAGGAATAACATGAGCAAATACATGTATATCCAAAGAAAAAGAATCCTATGATCTGTTGCCTGATTGACCAAGATAACTGTTATCCTTGTATTCATACTATTTGCTGGTGATGGGTACTTAGAGCAGATTCCACTGAGACTGTTATTAAGTGTGGCATGGAAATCATTGATGATAAAACACAGACAATGGTATTTAGGAACAGGGAGGGGGTTATCAAAATATGAGAAGTGGGCATATAAGAGAAGGGAAATTAAAGTTGTTAACGCTTATTTGGGATCAATCGTTACACCAAAAATGCTTTTGACAAAGTCAAAATTACTCTTTCATCACGGGGCAGCAAAGCTCCCATTCCGATAAAAACTTTCATATTTAAACACAATGTAACTGTCATAAATGCTTTAGAAATATTTGATAAGCTACTTGTACCATTTCGTCTTATGGAAGTGAGATATGGGATTTACACACAGAGAAAATATCGAAGTTGTCGACCGAAAGTACTGTAATTTTGTACTAAATACTAATATCCAGTTACCAAATCGTGTCACCTGTGGTGACTGTGGGAGAATCCCTTTACATATCACCCGTTATGTCACCCAGTATTAGCTCCGTCTGATTTCAATGCCACGCGGCAGGTATATGCTCAAACAAACCTGCAATAGAACATACCCGAATTGGGCTACACATATTATAAATCTGCTTTTTCTGTATGGTTTTGGCGAGGTATGGACTGCTCAAGATTTCGGATATATATATAAACAGAAGAAATTAGGCACTGCTTAAATAATATATTGAAGATGAGATAGAAGTAATTAGATTTAGAAGGCACTGCTTAAATTTCGAAGTAGGTACAATCCATTAGGCATTCTGAAACTTGGAAAAGGTTTATGTACTGTACGCAATATTATATATCTTTGTATTAAATGTTCTGATGAAGAACATGTTTTGTTTGTTTGTTGTTTAACGTCGCACTCAGCAATTTTCCAGCGATATGACGGCGGTCTGTTATTAATCAAATCTGGACCAGCCAATCCAGTGATTGACATCATGAACATCGATCCACGCAATTGGGATCGATGACATGCATCAACAAAGTCAGCGAGCCTGTCCACCCGATCCCGTTAGTCGCCTCGTCGGACAAGCATCGTCGCCTTTTACGGCAAGCATGGGTTGCTGATGACAAATTCTACCCCGGATCTTCACGGGTCTGAAGAACATGTACACTTGCACTGTCTCCAATATTTTGTTATACGCTCTCCATGTTTTTCCTTCAATATTTATGCTTGCTAAAGTGTGTATGATATGTTCAAGATTCAAGGAAATATAGAACAATAACTAGCGCATATGTTTACATTATAGTTTATTAGTTGGTTGGTTGGTTGGTTGGTTGGTTGTTTAACGCCGCACTCAGCAATATTCCAGCTATATGACGGCGGTCTGTAAATAATCGAGTCTGGATCAGACAATCCAGTGATTAATATCCTGAGCATCGATCCACGCAATTGGGAACGATGACATGCATCAACCAAGTCAGCGAGCCTCACCACCCGATCCCGTTAGTCGCCTTTTACGACAAGCATAGTCGCCTTTTACGGCAAGCATTGGTTGCTGAAGATCTATTCTACCCCGGATCTTCACGGGTCAGTTTATTAGTAACTGCATCTACCGGGTACCATGGCAAGGAATATAGGAGCATAAGAACTAATTATTAGCTTACCTTTGCCTTTCCCAAGTTGAGGGCGCTTGTCAATCACAGCTGTAAATGCCTGTAGATATTTAGATAGTATATAATATAAGTACATATTTAATTTGTTGCTTCCTGTTCTTGGGATTATTAATGTACATGTAAATGTATAATGATACCGAAATAACAAAATTATTATATGCTTTTGTGATGTTATGTAAATCGAGATCTGATTGTTTTAAACTTGTAATTTAACACTCGTGGTGACATCATTTTCTAATACGAGGGCAGGTAACAAAATCTCAGTCTAACCAACTTTCAACTATGGTTACAACAAAGTGAACTAGTCAAAGTAGTTCATTGCAAGTGTATTTGGTCTGTTGAGGCCGTCTGTATATCAGTGACAGCCAGTTGAATGTGATAGGGGTCCAAATGGACACAAATGAAAAAGAACGAGTACCGAGCAGGCATCAAGTATTGGACTTTAGAGAAAAGTACTAACAAAGAACTTCATGACCGCATGTCACAAGTGTATGGGGATAATTGCCCTAGCTATTCCACTGTTACACGTTGGGGAGCTATGTTTCAGGCTTGAAGAACAAGTCTTGGCGATGACCCAATGCCCGGACGTCCCTCAACTTCCGTCAATGAAGATTCAATCAAGGCGAAAGAAAAACTTATACTGTGACATGGACGTATTACCATTGCTGAACTTGAGGAAGACACAGGTATAAGCCATGGATCCATTGAAACTATTATTCATGAACATGTACATATGAAGAAGATACTAGTGCCTGCTCGTTGGGTGCCAAAGTTTCTAAATTCTTACTTAAGGGAAAAAGAACTGACATTGCCAGAGAAAATGGAGAGCTAATTCGTCAAATCCAAAAAGAGATTAGTAACGGGTGATGAAACATGGGTTCACCACTATGATCCCGAGTCAAAACGTCAATCCATGGAATGGCACCATTCCACTTATCCGGCACAAAAGAATTTCAAGTCTGCAAGATCAGTGAAGAAAATTATTGACATTGCATGCTGGGATGAAAAGGGTGTGATCCTCTTGATTACTAAGAAAGACAAAAGACGATTACCAGTGCCTGCTATGCTGATTTACTTTATCGCCAAAGCGATTCTATCAAAGAAAAGCGTCGAGGAATGCTGACTGCTTGAGTTCTATTACTTCATGACAATGCCTCTTCTCACACCTCGCGTCTTGCAAAGGCTGCTGTGCGACAATGTGGGTTCGAAGTGCTTCCTCACCCTCCATACTCGCCAGACCTGGCACAAGTGATTTCCACCTGTTTCATAAACTGAAAGAACACCTTCGTAGAAAACGCTATGACGACAACGGTGACCTCAAAGCTGCCGTGAATCGGTTTTTCAGGGTGGCTTCACAAAACGTATTCCTGAGTGTAATTGAAGAGTTTAAATCAAGAGCAGGGGGATTATGTTGAAAGATATAATTAAACACAGTTTCACAATTGTAGACGTTTGTTAGGCTTAAAACGTTTTGATCAGCACTCGTATGCACATACAAAATGACAATACTCAATTATTATACTGAAATAATATTCGTACTGACGAGATGTAAATGTAAATGTGCACATGTCTATTCACGTACCTTAATCGTATCCGCCTCGCCTTTGTCCGCACACACCACTATTTCGTCCAGAGAAACACATGAGTAATTCAAGGCTGTATCCAAGATGGATGTAGCTAACACGGCCATTGGTAAAGTGTCCATGCCATATCCAGTTGGCTGAATGGCGATGCTTGATATCCCATCTTGCTCAGCCTTGCGTAGGACACCGTCTGTCAGGCGTCGTAGTTTCTGCATATTTCAGATGGAGGAATTAATGCGGGTCTGTATGCGTGTATGACAGCAGGGAAGTTGACACAGTTGTATACTCAGTCTAATAACACACCATTCAAAATTATTTGTGATTGTATTTGAGGAATTCCTCACAAAGGGCCGAATCAAATATTTCGCTTTACTTCCTGTACCATGTCCCACCCAGTGGTTCCCGGGCATCAAATTAAAGAGTGGCGTTGATATCAATGTTTCTCTGGCGGCTGTTTTCATTTTGCAGCAAGACAAATTAATTTCGTTCACAGATCAAATATGGGTTCTCTCAGGAAATGTTGATATCTATCTTTAAAAAATCCGCCGTCGTTGTATCTTTTATGGGAGAGTATTTTAAGCAGATATTTGGCCAATTTAGGTTCATGAAAGAAAATACATCAATACATACATACTTGCTCCACATCAGAAAGTTTAAATAATCGGAAAACATTTCGCGTATCACATGTCAATACAAGAAGCACTGTAACAGTATACTCTTAATTTCCGATACCCGTATTATACCACCCATGATATCATCCATGTGCACCTTATAAAATTAAAAAGCATATGCAAGTGTTCCGTTTCTTTGTTGATAAGTATTTAACAAAATTGAGTGCCGCATTCTACAGGAAATTGAACTATAATTGTTTCCTGAAGGGATATGCATCTTGAATCCAGGCGAGCTTTACCTGTTCTGTGAGTGGTAGGGCCTCGATCAGGATATTATACACACGCTGGCAAGGAAGGTCCCCTCCATCAGTCACGAAGATACCTGATTCCTCAACCTGAATATAACAATGGAGGTAATTTGAGTAATATATTCAATTGTTACAACTGGGCAACAGTGGTCATGTGCTTCATGTGTTGGTACATGGGTAGGCCATAACAAACATCGTAGTTTACCATAGGATAGTAAGGAAAAGGTGATGCTTGATATTTTACAAGGTAAACCAGTGATTGATGTTATGAGTACTTTTACACAATGAACACTGCTGAAGTTAGCCAGCTGTTTTGGGGACCAATTCTCACCCGAAATTTCCTCGGGGTGTATACAAATAGAAACACAACATGTTGTATCATTTCTTTCTCTGGTTAATGCTATTTTCTGACCGAAACCTTCCATTTACCTCTGCAGAACCCTCCTGTTGTTTTGCATCCGTTATTGCAGCAATGGCGTCAACCTGTAAAGATAAAGTATTTTTATCGTGCTTGCTATCAACGCACTTAAATTAATAGTGTAGACTCAAATTTCAAATATAATCTGATGTGAAAAGTATTTCATATGTTAATTTTCTTGCACAGGATTTACCTTTGACAAGCGTATATGTAACATAAACTGTAATGCAGCATGTCGTGAATAACTTAGCTGTATTCCAGCTATTTGACAGCGATGACATGTATCAACCAAGACAGCGAGCCTGTCCACCCGATCACGTTAGTCGCCTCCGGGTTAGAATAGATCTTCAACAACGTATGTTTACAGTTAATGGCGACTATTCTTGTCGTAAGAGGCGACAAACGGGATCGGGTGGTCAGGCTCGCTGACTTGGTTTGATGCATGTCATCATCCCAATGGCATGGATCGATGCTCATGAGGTCAATCACTGGATTGTCTGGTCCAGTCTCGATTATTTACAGACCGCCGTCATATAGCTCGACTATTGCTGAGTGCGGCGTTAAACAACAAACAAACCAAACCATAATATCACATGTTAACATAATCTTACAGGGGCTGCTCAGTTAACGGTTCATAGATACCTGCTGTTGTGTTTTGTCGCCTGTCACAAAGGAGACTGCTGCATACGCTGTGAAAGAGAAACGCATATCGTAATGACCATCCTCATTAGTCCGTCATCAAACAGCTGCAGACATATCATGAACGTCAAGCTACATTTCCTTACATGCATCGCTGACTTTGTGAGGGAGTGAGTGAGTTGGTTGTAACGCCCTTTTTTAACAGTATTATATCGCTGTGTGTTAGCTTAATATCCGAAGTGATGCAGGTCTCGGCCGTTTACCACTTCGGTGAAATCCACGAGCACGGGTATGGTGCTGACACACCTAGAAACATAATAGGGGCGAACCGGGATTCGAACCCACAATCATTGGTTTCTGGCGTGTCCAAGGGACGCAACCATGCACAGCGAATCGCGGCGCCTCAGACGACTGGGCTACTCGTGCCCCCTTGACTTTGTGAAAGACTGTACCACTACTTTCTAACCGAGTACTTAACCAAAACACGCATGAAATATCCATCACTCTGGTTTGCACAATTGAGTGCAAGACTCCAGCCCTGACCACAAGAGGTTCCTTGAGACTTGTTCTAGAGAACATGTAATCCAAAACTGATTAATATGCTGTTAGCTGACTGGTGCCTTGTCATCTCAGTAGGGTGTTGTTTCTATCAGAAGGGTCGGTCGGGTAGCCCAGTGGTTAAAGCGTTCGCTCGTCACGCCGAAGACCCAGGTTCGAATCCCGTCATGGGTACAATGTGTGAAGCCCATTTCTGGTGTCCCCCGCCGTGATATTGCTGGAATATTGCTAAAAGCGGCGTAAAACCAAACTCACTCACCCACTCACTCATTCTATCAGAAAATCACTGGGTAGTGTGTAAATCATTAAATAACCTGGGATTTCCATTTTTTCCATAAAAGGATTTAAAGAATAATGTAGCAGTTGATCACATCACTTGACTGATATATGAGAAAATACAACTGATTTATGAGTTACGCTCTTGAATTTAACCCTTCGTTGTTTGAGTTCTGGTCCGAAAACAAAACGAACGGACAGCACCCATTCCTATATTGCCTTCCCACATTGATAAAGGGAGATAGTTTTTATTATTCAAATCTATCTGGCTATCCTTTCATGCGATATAAGTGGTCTTCGTGTGTCAGTGTACACACGTACCGATCCAAAGTGTTAACATCCCACGAGATAACGAACAGTCATGTGACAGGAGGTGTGAACTTAAGATCCGACGTTACAGTTTGGCCCGCTCACAAAGATCTCGTACTGGTAAAGTCTGAGAGCAAACAATGGCAGGCCCGCTCACAAAGATCTCGTACTGGTAAAGTCTGAGAGCAAACAATGACAGGCCCGCTCACAAAGATCTCGTACTGGTAAAGTCTGAGAGCAAACAATGGCAGGCCCGCTCACAAAGATCTCGTACTGGTAAAGTCTGAGAGCAAACAATGGCAGGCCCGCTCACAAAGATCTCGTACTGGTAAAGTCTGAGAGCAAACAATGACAGGCCCGCACACAAAGATCTCGTACTGGTAAAGTCTGAGAGCAAACAATGGCAGGCCCGCTCACAAAGATCTCGTACTGGTAAAGTCTGAGAGCAAACAATGACAGGCCCGCTCACAAAGATCTCGTACTGGTAAAGTCTGAGAGCAAACAATGACAGGCCCGCTCACAAAGATCTCGTACTGGTAAAGTCTGAGAGCAAACAATGACAGGCCCGCTCACAAAGATCTCGTACTGGTAAAGTCTGAGAGCAAACAATGACAGGCCCGCTCACAAAGATCTCGTACTGGTAAAGTCTGAGGGCAAACAATGGCAGGCCCGCTCACAAAGATCTCGTACTGGTAAAGTCTGAGAGCAAACAATGGCCGGCATTATCTCACCTTGGCTGTTTTCTCTGACTGATTTGTTGGCTTGTTTTTGGCAGATGTTCAACACTTCTCTGGCGACTTCCTTTCCAAAGGGAATAAATACGCATGTGTTAATTTAGAAAAAAAAAAAAAAAACGAATAATGCTGAAATACATGTCAATTTAAAATAGTTTATAAGACTCTTTCATCATTGATAATGCCATATGCCTCCTTTGGATTGACCATTGATTAAAAGCCTTGATAATCGGACGATTTCGAATAACTTTATTTGCCTTTCACGTCTTTTACATGTTTGTGACGGAGAATGTTACTCAGATATTAAGCTTGCTTTACATGAAGGCATAAAATCACGGTCATTTAACAGGTGAGGTGAAATGGGGTTAAACGTCGCGTCCAAGATGCTGCTTGTACTAGTCCGGACTGATGCCGATTTTGTAGTGCTAACAGTTTCAGTTTAAACATGAATACCCCACTCAGACACAGTATACTGACTCCGAGCCCACCAGTCCTTGTTTTGGTCAGGCTCGCTAACTTGGTTGATACATGTCATCGATCACAATTTCGTGGATCGATGCTCATTATAGCAATCACTTGATGGTGTGGTCCAGACTCGATTATTTACAGACCGCCGTCATATAGCTTGAATATTGCTGAGTGCGGCGTAAAACAACAAACCAACCAACAGGGTGACAACAAGTACCGTCTTTTAACGTCTTTTGGTATGACGCGGCCGGGGATCGAACCTCGGACCTACCGGTCTCCGGGCGGACCGTAATTTTACAGTTATGAGAATATATGAAAGGTACTCGCATTTGATATGATATCAGGAATTTGTTGCAGGATTCTGTCGAGTTCTTCCTCTGTGACACCTTCCTAAACAAACCATATGACGTGAAATGTAATCATGTTCAAAGTTTAATTCCAATACATTTTGGTCATGGAATGACCTGTTCCACGTTGCCAAATTTAGAAAATGGTTAAAAAGGCAATATTATCCCCGAATATGTTTGCAGCGTTAAGAAATATGAACAGAAATGTACTAACATGAGGCAGACTTTTGATTACAGCGACGACATCCTCCTGAAACACATTTAACACTATGTGCAACATGAACAAATACACGTGTTATCGAGTTCTCTGTGATTCCAGCTGAGACTCGATAGAGACAAAATAAATCATGGCACACGTAAGCACATAGTAAAACATATCTATCTATCATATAAAACATAAATAAACATGTGTTTGGTATTAAATATGTATGCCTTGTAAGCTATACTTACATATATGCTGTAAATTACAACATTAACATGCAAGATGACTGACCATGATAGTTCACTTGATATTTGGAACAATATTGGCATGATACCGTCATAATTTACAATATTGACAGTAGCGGGTGACTTCGCCAAGGTAAACACCACCAAGCTGACTGTCGTTCATTTCTCGATGAACGTCATTATGTCACGTGATTACGTTGTCAATCGCGCGGAGAGATACAGAACTACTTTAGGGGAATTCCTCAAAGTCTAAAATTAACATTAAAAATATATTAGGGAAAACTGAGAGCGACATCAATTTAGGCTATGAATGATGCAGGCTTTGAAGTCAGACAGAGCATGTATGTGTCGGATCACCGAAATGAATCGTCCATTCGAAACAGAGAATGCTCGACTTACCAAAAGAAATCACCGAGCTCCACACTATCGTGCCTCAGTAAATCCAATCGCGCCACCTCAAGCGGTAATCCCCGTCATCAGCAGTCGTATTATGGCTCAAACACGCGCCAAAAGTTCACAGAACGTTAGTATGTATCCATTTTCAGCATGAGCCGAGTCTGGATTTTTTCCAATTCCAACGCTAACTTTACTGGGTGCAACATGAATTTCAAGCAAATGACATTGCGGTAGCCGCCATTCTCTGCCGTTTGTAAGACCAAGGGATGTCACTCCAAATGGAATGTTTGGGACGGATGACGTCACGACTCTCCGCGTTGATATAGTTCGCTCCAAATGATTAAAGTTTGATATTTAATGGATTGTTTTGTTATGATTTATGTATCTGTCAATATAAGGATTGAAGTTTCGCGCAAAAACACAACCGCATGGGAGTCTGGTGTTGAAACACAACAACATGACATGCACGTGCAGCATCCCTTGTCAGGCTATAAAAACGCTGGGTCTTCATTTGCATGCCAGCGTCAGCAACAACCAGAGAACCTCAGACAGTTGGAACAAGCGCTGCAGGCAGAGTGGGTGAACATTCCCCAGGCCACAATCCGGGATCTGACTGCTTCATTGGGACGACTATGCCAGTCAGCTTTGGACTCTAATGGTAGCCATATATAGATATTGACAACAGATGACCTTCACCTTCAAAATCTACGGTTCCATGTGTGCCATATTGAACCTGGGTCAATGACAATGATTTGGAACAATCTATTACCATCTTTTGATTATTTATACAATATGTAAAATATACATTAAAAAAATGAGTATATTTAGAAAACTCCTACTCACGAGCCCAGCTGTGAATTCTGAAATGATACATTCAGAAACAAAGTTATATATGTTTAAAAAAAAACCGTTAGAAATTCTTATTTATGTGCCTTCACAAGTTCACCTAATACATTTTAATTAATTCCATTAAAGTCTGTGTTGGTGATGCAACACTAAGTCACCAAATAATTGTACATACTTTCATATATGTTTTAAACACACCCATGACTATTGTTTCTTCATGCTATAGAAGTTACACCTAGTAGTTCCTTCAAAATCGTTCCTCCGACATTATTGAAGGGGAATCTCATGAACAAGAATACCACGTTCCATTCGCAAAAGATATTTTAACAAAATGTCCATTTGTGAATACTTACCCCGTGTTGCCAGTGCCTTCTGAAGTTCGCGTTTTCTCCTCTCGATCTGTAACATAGGTTTGTCATTTACATACAGACTATTTTACGAAAAGGAATGACATTATTGTGAGATGATGGAGAAGTGTAGTCATTCAACGGTCATACTTTGCAGATGGTAACACCCGATAACTAGAAAGGTGTTTGCATAAAAGGAAAAAGTCCGAAGCACCCCTTCCCATCAGAAGCATGTATCATGAACCATTTTATTTAACAAAATCAGGTGACAACTGACCTCATTATTATCTACCACCTACATTCATCTTTCATATGCTATATTCATAGTGAAGGTCATTCATTCATGACTATTTCTTTCTTGTGACCTTGATATTTGGAGGACTGTAGAATACCCCAGGTTTGTATGTCAAACATGCGGCGTAGTAGCTATGAGAAATATCAACAACCGTGGAAGGAGCTGTATAATTCCGACAAGAACATCACATATACTTACAATCCTCTTTCGCAGATTTTCGAACCTTTGTTTTTCTGAAATTGCAAAATGGTTTACTCGTAACAGCATGCACAACAACCACCATGCAATATGTATGTGGCATTGAAAACGTGGCAACTCGGAGTCAAATTCTTTGGATAGCTGATTTCTTGTTAGTAAATATAATTGTCTTCAGGCTTTACCCAAAGTATGAATTTTATGTTGAAAGACATGAATAAATATGTTGTGTAACATAATTAAACTGCTCCTTCTTTCACAGAAACTAATGTTTGTCTTGCAGAAGTTTCCGACTATGACAAAAATTGCCAAAGTCGGTCATGTGGAGTGAGTGAGTTTGGTTTAACGCAGCTTTTACAGTATTTTCCAGTTATATCACGGCCTGTCAGCGTCATGTAAGACGTTAACCACTTTGCTGAAACCCACGAGCATGGTGCTGACAAACCTAGAAACATAAACGGGGTGAACCGGGATTGGAACCCACGATCATAGGTTTCTGGCGTGCCCACGGGACGCAACTCTGCACAGTGAATCGCGTAGAAACATATTCTGGGCAAACCGTTCTGACGTGACCCGTAATGGGAAGTCCTGTCCTCTGATCTTTGTTTAGCGGCAGCGAGAACTTGATTGTAATGAGATTGGGCAAACCGGGGAGTCCACGATCCGGCCAAGAGGTGACTCGTGTACAGCTTGTATGGTTGTATGGTCTCATGCACGTGTTATTCCGATCGTAGCTAAAGAGTGGTCAACTTAACGAACCACTTGATGTGCGTGTTTGTATATCACGGTTGTATGGTCAAAATTGGGATACGTACTGTCCCGTCAGCACCTGATATATGGAAACAGGTTTTATACAACTGTGTGCTGTCTCATGTGACAGCCGCAGAAAATCCGCTATAGTATAAACTATGCAACTAGAATAGCTGGTCTAAGTACTGAAGGTTAAAGAGTACATGGTTGTCAACCAAGTGTAAGCTGGAGATTTAACAAACATAGCAACCGTATCAACAATCACATTTGTCTACTGAACAAACCTGAAAGCCTTATAAAAAGGAGTCCGATTGGCAATGACATATGTCATTGATTTTTGGTTGTCTGAATACACATTCAGTTATTCGGTGAGCTAGAACAACTGTTGGCTAGACTTTGAGATTATTTTGTCAGCCCGTGCCATGTACGTCCGATATCAACGCCTGTATATAATAATTGCTATGCGAGAAAAATAATTCGTACTAAGGTGTAACACCATTTTCACTGGCTGGTGTATATAGTGAGTTAATGTAGTTTACGGGGGGCACGGGGGGGCCCAGTCGTCTAAGGCGCCGTGATTCACTGTGCAGAGTTGCGTCCCTTGGGCAGGATAGAAACCTATCATTGTGGGTTCGAATCCCGGTTCGACCCGATTATGTTTCTAGGTTTGTCAGCACCATACCCGTGCTTGTGGGTTTCAGCAAAGTGGTAAACGTCTGAGACCTGCATCACTTCGGGCTTTCCTCCCACATTAAGCTGACACGCCGTGATATAACTGGCATATTGTTGAAAGCGGCGTTAAACCCAACTCAATCACTCATTAATGTTGGTTTACGCTCCAGTCATAAATGTACTCATTCAAAAATGAATAAACATATTGATATACATATATAAAAACATAAGCGTATAAAAATATTAATATGAAGTCATTTGATGCACCAAATAAATAATTTCATTGTTGGAACTATAAACATTCAGCATGGAACAAATGCATGACCCAAGTCTAACATAAAGAAACTCAACACCCTGCAATGTTTAGCTGGTTCTGGGACGAGTCAAAATTATGCTGCATAAAGCTTATTGGATCGTAATGACGCCATATGCAAACGAGAGACCGACGTTGGCAGCATAATGGTGGCGTAAGGATGTGTCGCTAATAATATACACATGAAATATTGAGTTCTCATGACAAAGCGTTCATCAAAACGTATTCATTTAATGCTGTAGGAGAACAGTACATCTATTTCAGGTGACCTGAAAGTAATCAAGCATTTGTTTGTTGCTTAACGCTACAGTCAGCAATATTCCAGCTGTATGACGACGGTCTGTAAATAATCTGGACCAGACATCCAATGATTCACATCAAGAGCATCGATCTAAGAAATTGGGATATGACGACATGCATCAACCAAGGCACCCGATCCATTGACCACCATTTAAGCCAAGCATGGGTTGCTGAAAGCCAAACCTAATCCGGTAATCAAGCACTAGAACGACAGACGATTGCTTGACAAATTAGAGCAATGATCCATGTCACACATTGTAAACATCCGATTCTTATGAGATCACATTTTGGCCAAACATGGGATACTGATGACCTAGTCCGTGACGGAGTCCCCACAAGATAAATATTCGAGAGAAGAAGAAAATGATTTATACATTAAAGTTCTGTGGTTTTGGAACGTTATCTCCCCAGGGGCCCCGTGAAGATTCCGTGGTAGAATAGGTCTTCAGTAACCTACGCTTGTCGTAAAAGGCTCACTGACTTGGTTGATGCATGTCATTGATCCCAATTGCGTGGATCGATGCTCATGATATCAATCACTGGATTGTCTGGTCCAGACTCGATTATTTACAGACCGCCGTCATATAGCTGGAATATTACCGAGTGCGGCGTTAAACATCAAACCAACCAACCAACCAATCTCCCCAGAGTGGAGGACCAAGTGAGGACAAGGTTGCTGTAGTGTTCCTGTGATGGTATGTCAGGTATATGACGGATATGTCTGTATTATGACGTTTGGTGTATCCACTACGGGCATGTATAAAAAGAGCAAAACTGAAGAAAATATTTACATTGCAAAATTCCTTTATATTATTACGTGAACAACTATGAGCAACATGTAGGCGAGAGGAAAAAATGTAAGAAACGGGTTTACCATGAAAATCACTCACCTGCCATACTAAACACCTACCCAGTCGCAGTTAGCAATCGGTAATGTGCCAACTTCCTTGTCGGGTAGTTTTACACCGACTTACATGAGTCGTATAACCAATCTGCTATAGATAAATTGACGTAAGAGCTAAGAAGGGTGTTATACGTAGGTATACTCAGCAAATAAGGAAACGCAAAAGTGATATTAGTTTTTAATTATCACATAAATAATCAAAGGATATTAAACGATTGCTAAAAATATCATTGTCATTGATCAAGGTTCCATATGGTACGCATGGAAAAGAAGATTTTCAAGGTGAAGGTCGTCTGTTCTCATCATCTTGTATGGCCACCATTAGAGTCAGTCTTGCAGATTTCGGTCGATTGTAGGATTTGCAAAACATGTGCACCGCCAACTCGTTGTCAACAGATATTTTCCAGATCTTTTCATGTTTTTTTATCAATGATTTGATACACTTCGCAATGTAATACCTGTTTAATCGCAAAATAGATCTTGATTATCGATCAGATCGTCTTGACTGGGCGCCGCCATTTTGTTTCAATGTGGAAAAACGTGGCTACAGCTGATGATGATCGGCCGGTGGCGTTGTTGCCTTGGGCTTCCTTCAGTCGTGGCATGTTTTCACTGTTCACTTGCTGATTGTGATTGTGATGGCATGCAAATGAAAACGTGACAAGTGATGGTGCACGTGCATGTATGTTGGTGTGTTTCGGCGCCAGGTGGTTGTATTTTTGTGATTTTCCATTAGTTCACCAAATGTCTGCAGTACATCATTCCTTCCACACAAATCAATCTCAAGCCATGCAGAAATTACCAAATTACCATAATTTATTTATGGATGTCGGCAACACTCGTTTAAATATTTACGATTTTACTACGTTTGCGTCAGCAACTGTTGCAAATATGTGTAGCAAATATCAGTGACGTAACAATATTCAACCATTGAAAAGAATATGTCACTATAACTTGTACCGTTTGCAAGGAGTGTGGGTTGACGTTTTGTCTTTCAGGACGACACGAGTCACCACCGACTTTCACCGTGCACGAATCGTCAATTCGCACCTCCAGCCATACAACATCCACAAGATGCCATGGACAGCATTGAGCCCAGAACACACCTTTTCCGCACTGAACGCGCCTGGGGCATGATAGGGAGACGCGTGCGTCAACGTCATGGGCCGCCGACCACGTTGGCTGAACTTTGCCAGACGCTGCAAGAGGAGAAGGACAGACTCCCTCAATCACCATTGGGAGACTCGTGGCGGTATTACGCACTACTGATTCAAAAGCGTGAACGCTGAAATTTACCATGTCTTTCAAGATCGTTGGCGGTCATAACATCTACTGTCATACTTCACTAATGGTTGTCATAAAGATAGATAGATAGATAGATAGATAGATAGATAGATAGATAGATAGATAGGGATAATGAATATCCATATGCTGGTTTATATAAACAATATGTTGATATTGAATCATCTACTCAGCTAGCACCATAAGTATCTGTTTTTACAACATATTGCTGAATTCTCCTGGGTGCCGCGTTAGAAACAAACAATCAGTGGATCGTCTGGTCCAGACTCACTCTACAGTAGCGTTGAAAGTTGCCCATGTGTGGTCACAGCATGTTGACTGAACTAACAGTTTGTGTACTTCACAGTACTGTATATACAGTAGACAGTCCTCTGTTCATGGAGAAGCAATAAGGGCTTGTTTGAATTTGACCACCGCCGTTCCGTGTTTTTGAAACCATACGGCACTTGGACATCTCAAGGATATCATATCATGTGTATCTCACTTTTCGGTAAGGGAAAACATTTTGACACATTGACCCATCTTGTCCATGGTTAATCCTGCATATGACATGTATTTCCCCCAACCGGAAGTGTTGTCATTAAATCGGAAGTACTCATAACTTGTTTAGCAAGGTGACCAGAGGAATTTAGTTTTCTGTTTCTATATTTTGTTGTTTAAAGCCAAAACATGACCGCGGTCTGTAAATACTCGAGTCTGGTGATTAACATCATGAGCATCGACTTCCGCAGTTGAGATACGATGACATGCTTCAACCAAGTTAGCGAGCATGTCTACCCGATCCCGTTTTCGCCTCTTACTGCAGGCATGGGTTGCTGAAGACTCCAATTCAAACCCGGATCTTCACGGGGTATGACAATAAAGACCCATAGGAAAAACTAATCAGTCGGTCTGACGAATAATGAATGTAATGTGTCCATTTTAACATATTTATTGCAAAGCATATTCATAAAGCATTGAGACTGCAATGTGACATTGTGACAATTTCCGATATTTCAAGCAAAAATGCATGATATTTGTTTAATAATACATATAATAAAAATCCACTATGTCCATTGTTGTCTTTTTGAAGCATATATACTAGTACATGTTTAGGGATATATAGAACAAATAACAGTATGAGAAATAAAATAAACTTAACTTGATTTCATGCATGAAACATATTTTTCCGTAAACCTATTCGGTAATAGCAAGCAAACAATAAATGTTGTCCAGGGTTTTCTTTAGGGTGTGATCATATTTCTGAGCCCACCAAGACTAGCAACTGTTTTATGGTAGGGCATTTCCAAATTTGACGCATCAGTGATAAAATTATGTCTGATGCAATTCTCTATTTTGGACCTGTACCATCATGTTCTCATGTTTCAAGTGATCAATTGACATGGCTTTGCATTGTCTGTGACGGGAGCCACCGGTGGGGCATGAAAACACTATTCGCGAACACCTGGTGTTTGATAGTGATTCATAAACACATGCTAATTATATCATACAATACACTCTGCTCTTTGTACACATTTCTTATTATTATGGAAAGGGTTTTGTCGCTTTTTACATGTAATTAACCCAACAGTGAATATATATTATCTAGATTTAAGACATTAAGTGTGAAATCTGTTCATAACATATGACATTGGACTTCATTATTTTGAATATTGATGAACACTAGATATTCAGCCGAAATTTTCGTTATATACCAGACAATTACCTCGCCTTAACGTTACAAACAGACGCCCTGGTGTTCATCAATATTCAAAATAATAAAGACCAATGACATGTAATGTAAAACTTTGTAAAACACCTGCAAAATTAATGTATTATCTGAAGTGCAATATCGATATCTTTATCCTGCCTGTGACTCATTTTAAAATATACTTCCCAGACGAGAAAGTGGGTTTTTATCAAAATATTCAGCAAAATGTTTATAGTAGGATAATGCCTCTACAACAACTGGAGTACTAGGATTGTGTTATCCGCACTCTGTGCTTTGATACAATGTACATATCAGACGTTTGATGCCAATACCCAAGACTTTGTGAAATCCCATCATGTCTTCTGTACCCTATATGAATAGAGCAGTCTTCAAATCTTCATGAGGTGAGGTGAGGTGAAATTGGGGTTAACGTCGCGTCAAAGATTATTGCACTTATATAGCGACGTGCAAGCACGTGTATGTGTGTGTGTGGCTGCTTGTACTAGTCCGGGCTGATGCCGATTTATAGTGCTAGCTCACTGAGATACCATGCCGCAGTTTAACATGAATACCCCACTCAGACACAGTATACTGACTCCGAGCCGACCAGTCCTTGTTTTAGCCCCTTAATGCCGAGCGCCAGACAGGGTAACAACAAGTACAATCTTTTAACGTCTTTTTGTATGACGCGGCCCGGGATCGAACCCTGGACCTTCCGCTCTCCGGGCGGAGGCTCTACCACAAGACCACGGAGGCGGTCTTCAAATCTTCATGAAATATGGAAACGGACTTTCACCAATGGTTGCACTTGGAATGGCTGTTTAGATGTTTAACACTTAGTCTAATAATCAAAATTGTTTTGTAAAGTTGTGCTCTGGCTTAGCCTTGGTGTAATGAGCAAGCCTGTAACATCATACACGTCTTTCTCAGTTCTACTTCTTTTTGAAAGTGATACATCTGGACGTCATTGATCACAACGTACATGTTGGTGTTGTTGATGTTGTCAACGAGACTGTCGGACAGGATGCTGGGGTTGGCGGGGTCTCTAGTACTTTCATTTCTGGTTCTCCCTCTGTGTAATGTCCAGTGAGCACGTCTGCATAATACATTTGCTTATGACCGTTGTCATTTGGACGGGAGAAACGATCGCCTGCAAAGTAACTGGAACTGACGGTGAAATAGGGGCCCTAGCCATAGTACATTACTGAAATATATAATGTTACATGATGAAATATCCATAACATAAACTTAAAATATATACAGAATAGAAAACTCAGTATAATGTCGGTTATAACGAACTCACAGTACAACTGATTTTTATTGGTATTAATCGTAGTTCTTTACAAACACATATATAAAGCAAACGGACGGGACCAAAAAACAGTTCGTTACATCCGTCAGTTCGGTATAAGCGTGTTCGTTATAAGCGTAGTTTACTGAAAATTATGCATAAAATAAATACGCAGATTAATGTATCCCTTTCAAAAATACATGTCATCTTATGTGTTATTGTGCGAATATGCTCGGGAACTGATTGTTCTTAACGGTTCATGAGACTTAAGATTTTTATGTGTCTGAGATTTGTTGGTGTTATTATAAAATATCTGTAAAATCCAGTTTCTAAACAGTATTTCTGTATTGACAAATCCACTGGTAAGAATGTACAATGTAAAATAAGTTTTTAAGCGGATTGTGAACTACCCATACAAGATGTAGGATGTAACTCCTTTATGCTAATAGTGTAGGAACCATAGTTTACCAAAAATCACCTTTCAGGGAATGTGCCATCCCAAAAGCTCACTTGAACCTTCTGATCATGATAAATACCTGCTCCATATCTTCGACTGAAACCATGAATGTTCATAATGGTTGTAGAACCACCGGGCGTGCCGTGCCAAAGATGGCGCTCCACGTCTATGTTTGGATCCTTATGTCTGGTCGACATTTCACGTCTATGCATCACGTACTGGAAGTGGAGCGTGCAGTTCTGGATCCTCTCCATCTGACATGTCCCCATCTCAACGTGCGCTTGCTTTCAACGTTATTATTTTTTATTATGATGTATACAAAGTCGCATCACCTCCAGAATTCATGAAGAGCAACAGAGTGAAACAATTGAAGAATGTGATATGGGTAACATTTGCAAAGCAGATGGGATGCTTTATTATTATGAAAAGAAATTTGTCACAATTTTTGTCAGAATCAAAGGGCGTGTGGTGAAGTCAAACCTGTCAGTCCTTAATCTTTAATACGTCGATTTGTGGCAAGATAGATATGGGTTTGATAAAAATATTGTTCCTTGCAAGTTGATAATGTCTTATTGATAGTTAACACCTGCACGGAACTTCCTAGCCACCGGTTAATTTTCAAATAGTTCCTATGCCATTAGACTCCAGTGTTTGGGCAGGGGTGTGTGTCCAGCTATGCCCGCATAGCTACACTATATTTCTGACAAGTATACACTGTGTTTCAAGATTCCTACATCCATGGATGTATCCTCCATAAATGGATGCATTAATGGCTGACAGCAGTAGTCAGGGATATCCTTGTGGATAGAACCATGGATACGTAGAGGGAAAAAAAACTAATTTCTTCGCAAAATAAAAATACTGTAAAAACATATTATTGATGTTGACTAGACACATTTTACTTGAATGTAGAGGAATTTGACGAATCTGAATTTTATTCAAACTTGAATGACGTACGGAATATGCAGCTTATTGTCATATGACGTGACTGTGTATGTATACCAAGTGATGACAGTTCTAATCAGTAGGAGGTCACCATGCCCCACTTTCAATGAGTAGCATACATGATGTCTATAGTTTTGTTACACTGAATGCCGCCTGGGGGTGTCATATTTGGTTTACATGTGTGGGGCCATGAAGTCACACATTGGTAATTTATAAAGTACTGTTGCACCAACTCCCTGTGTTGGTATGGCGTGTATGTGAGAGATTACACCAATGTTATATACACATAATAGCACGTGGTTGCCGTAACTGGGGCTCAAGGTAAACAAACTTGAAGTGCATATAACTTTTGTATCAAGCTGGAGCCTCTGGTTTATTGATTAACTGTATTGAGCATGACTTTATGTGCGAGAATTGATTTAAACAGTTAACCTGTCTCCATTGTAAATTCAGTGGTTGGAACTGTTATTACAGAATAATTAAAGCGACAAACCCCTTTCCAGATCCTATAGAATTCTCTGCAAAAAGCCGAGATTTTGGAGATTGTGGTTAACAACTGCTTGTTGTTAACGTTTTATGAGAGATAGAATTTTTATGTGTCTGAGATTTGTTGATGTTATCTAAACAATCTGTAAACTCCAGTTTCATAACAGTATATATGTATTGACAAATCCACTGATAAGAAGGCACGAAGTAAAATCAGTTCTTAAACGGTTTGTGAACTACCCAAACAATATGGAGATGTTACTTCCTTATTCTAATAGTGTATGAACCAAAGTTTACCAACATTCATGGTTCAGGGAGTGTACCATCCCAACTGTTCACTTGAACCTTCTGGTCATGTTAATTACCTGATCCATATTTTTGTCACTCTGAATATCCCTGCCTAGACATGCAGTATTGTCTTGGTTGAAACAAGGTCTTCACAATTATAACATGTACATTGTTTATGTGATATATTCTTTCTCAGCTGAAAGTTTAAATATCGGGCAAAAGTCTCACATATTTGGGTATGCAGTGACTATCAACCGATCCAAATTCAAGACATGTATTTTCATAGGATCTTGATTTATTTGGACATTAGTAAATACAATTTGGAGTATTCAATAATACGTATGATATTGATGTCACAAATGTTAACCAAGGCTTGACAACAGTCCAGCAAAAGTGTGACATTTGGCTGCTTCCAGACATTAAAGACTGAAACGATCCACACGCTCTTGAGAATAAGAAAGTAGTACTTCGTTAAAAATAGCTGTTGAAAGAACCACAAAATAACAACACAACATTTTATTGCCTTTCATCAATGTTATTGAAATAGTGATGATTGATATATTTATCATGTTCAAGGGAAATATTTTACTTCGGTTCCCTTTCTCTGTTTGTCAAATTTGCCTTTAAATAAAATCATGTTGTTTAATCATAAAACCTTGTGTAATTTGTTAACGTCAAATGACAACCCGTCGCCTAAGGCGTCGCGATTCGCTGTGCAGAGCTGCGTCCCTTAGGCATGAGGGACCTATGATTGTGGGTTTGAATCCTGGTTCGCCCCGATTATGTTTCTAGGTTTGTCAGCACCATACCCGTGCTCGTGGGTTTCACCGAAGCGGTAAACGTCTGAGACCTGCATCACTTCGGGCTTTCCTCCACACAATAAGCTGTCACGCTCCGATATAACTGGAATAATGTAAAAAACTGACTCACTCACTCGGAGAGCGGAAGGTCCGGGGTTCGATCCCCGGCCGCGTCATGCCAAAAGAAGCTTAGTGAGATGGTACGTGTTGTTCCTCTGTCTCGTGCTCGGCATTAAAGAGCTAAAACAAGGACTGGTCGGCTCGGAGTCAGTATACTGTGTCTGACTGGGATATTCATGTTAAGCATGGTATGTTAGTGGGCTAGCACTATAAAATCGATATTAGTCCGGACCTGTACAAGCAGCCACACACACACTTGCATGTACGTCGCTATATAACTGCAATAATCTTTGACGCGATGTTAAACCCCATTTCATTTCACCTATCTATGACTAAACACAATGACATGTTCAAGATGAAGCAACTGTTCAAACACACGCTCCATCATCCACTGTCCACCCTGGTCTTCCTTCACCTGCTCCCTCCAACCGGACAGAAGGCTAATCTATGCAGTCGTACAATCCCTCGTTCTCGTGTCTGGTAGTGTCTGTGTTTACGTACAAGTGGACACCACCCTCTTCAGATGTCTGAGTTATCGCTTCTGTGTCCCCTTTATTTATGCCATTTGCAGGCCCTTGTTTACATCCTGTAGAACAGTAGACAGTGAGTTGAAATATGGTATGTCATCAGGATGATTAACTAGCTTACACAGTTTGTTTGCTGCTTAACGCCGCACTCAGCAATATTCCAGCTATATGATGGCGGTCTGTAAATAATCGGGCCTGGACGAGACAATCCAGTGATTGACATCATGAGCATCGATCCACGCAATTTGGATACGATGACATGCAACAACCAAGTCAGCGAGCCTGACCACCCGATCCCGTTAGTCGCCTTTTACAAGCATAGCCGCCTTTTCAGCAAGTATGTGTTGCTGAAGAGCTATTCTACCCCGGATCTTCACGGGTCTGATAACGGTTTAACAGCACGCACCGGAAAGTCGTTACTATTGAAAACATAGTGACTCATCCTTATCATTTTGTCATTAGTTCATACATCCTCTATGCAGCTGACTTATACACTTATGTGCTGATAACTTAGCTCACATGTACGTTTTACATGCATGTCTGTTTATGTGGGAAAGCTCGAAGTATTATAACAAATTAGATCAGTTGCAACTTCATTGTTATCAATGTCTGTTGAAACGCAACATCCGTTTCTTTTTATTAGTAAACACTAACAAACCTGATACTACACTGAAAGGCAATAGAAACGTCACTTCTGAAAATGTCGATAAAACTTAACAGACACTGGCAGTTACATGTTCTGTGGTCAGTAAACTCATTTAACGTTCTACTGCTTCTTCTTGTTGCCTTAAAGTCCATTTAAATGGAGTGCTTTGCCCAAACGCAGCCTACAAAAGTGCAATGGGACTCAGTTGCGGACAAGTCTTGTAAAAAACATGATGCACGTGCATATCGTGGATGGTTTGGGTATAAAAGATACCCAAAACTGTTAAGCTGGCTTTCGTTATTTCGATTCATCAGCCATGCCAAGATTATCAGGAAATGAGAGACAACAAGCGGAAGGCTGCACGGAGGCCAGAGTTCACAGGTCGTTGCAAATGCATTCAATGTCAACGTCAGAACGATATATCGTTTGCAACATCGCCACAACACCACCGACGACCGACCGTGTAGTGGTCGTCCTAGAGTCACTACTCCCAGACAATATCGGTTTATGATACGCCAACATCCGCAGAACCGATTCCGAATGGCCACTGAAACAGCTCGGCAAACCATTTGCAACCACCAGCGTGCCATCAGTGATCGTACAGTCCGACGTCGCCTAACTGCCAACAACATCTCGTGCCACCGCCCTGCTCGTGTACCCATCCTGAGAGATCGTCACCGACTGCAATGGGCCAGAGAGAATCAAAATTGGCGTCAACAGCAATGGAGAAGAATCATCTTCACTGATGAAAGTCGCTACTGTGTTTCAACGGTGGATGGCAGAGTCAGGGTCTGGCGAAGGAGGGGCGAACGTTATGCTGATGCTTGTGTTATGGAACGAGACCCGTGGGGCGGCCCAAGCATCATGGTTTGGGGTGGAATCGGACTGAACCAGAGAGTGGGACCTGTGTTTTTTTCAGAATATTGGTCCAGGCAGGGGTAATGGCATCACAGCTCTCCGCTGCATTGGCCAAGTCCTCAGACCCCATATCGTGCCTTTTTTGCCCGTCATCAAAACCACACCTTTCAGCAAGACAACGCCCGTCCCCACACTGCCAGAGTCACCAGGGACATCCTCCAGCAGCACAACATCCAAATCATGCCTTGGCCTGTCCTCAGCCCGGATTTGAATCCCATTGAACACTTGTGGGATGAGATCCAACGCCGACTCAACGCCCAAGGCCGACAACTGCAGTAGAGCTGCGTGTAGCGTTCCTGAGGATATGGGCACATATCCCAATGGCCTTCATCAACAGTCTAGTCCACTCAATGTAAAGGTGGGGCGGTCGGGTAGCCTAGTGGTTAAAGCGTTCGCTCGTCACGCCGAAGACCCGGGTTCGATTCCCGACATGGGTACAATGTGTGAAGCCCATTTCTGGTGTCCCCCGCCTTTATATTGCTGGAATATTGCTAAAAGCGGCGTAAAACCATACTCACTCACTCACCCCATGTAAAAATGATGTGTGGCTGTAGTCAACACCCGTGGTGGCCACACCAGGTACTGATTTTGAACCCCCTGTGATGTCTTGTGGTGCCTCCCCAAATTCACAATTCGCTAAAACATTCCCCAGACTGTTAATTTCATGTGGGTCAAACACTGACTTTCTCCCATGTCTTTACTTACATATATAAGCATTTGAAAATAAACATGTTTATATGATACATCCACATGACGTTTCTTTTGCCTTTCAGTGTAGTATATGATTTACGCCATATGCACTATCTCGCTCACATGCGCGAACATAATGATAACATTCCATTTTCACTGTTTCCACAAAAAACACCCTTCCTACCTCTGGCAGCTTTTATCCGCTGAGTTTTCTCCATCATCATATTCACGATTGAAGAACCTTCGGCCGTCTCCATATTAAAAACACCTTCTCCAGACAACGATTTCCGCCCAGCTTCAAAAGTGAAGTGGGTGCGAGACTTTCCATAGTTCCGGATGTGTATGTATGGCCACTCATAGATGACCCGGTTGGATTTGACATCACACAGACACAAGCTTGTGTCCTTCACAGCAATGTTATACACCCCTTTGAGATGACAGCGCTTGTGCGTCTTCTCGTCCCCTTTGATGTTGACTCTGAACAACGACTGATTCTCCATAGTCTGTGTATATACAATGCGGGCGTCACTCGGCGAGAATGTGCATTAACACTGTCATTGGTTGAGCTTGTTAACGCATGTTCACATCCCAGAGTGTGGCGTTGACAGTTTGATACATGTTGGAAATATGTACAATCACAAATACACCAATATTGTCACACTCCCCAAACACCATGGATGTACAGATGGAGTTTGTCCGTTAACGGGTCCTCAAAATTCGATATGGCAATGCAGTGATCCGATAGAAACTTGCAGGGTGCATTACTTCCTTGTCAGGAATAAACATTACACTGTGTTGCTCGTTTGCTCGACGGGATCGAATTACAAAGCCTTATTCAAACTTGTTTAGCAGGTTTACCAATACCCAACACGGTGAGTCATTATCTACTGTTCACGTCTCTTACGTCGTTTGTTGTAAACTACACGCTATGAAGGGTATCATATGTGCTTTACAAACGTTCATGCAAACATAAAACGACTACCTGACAACACGATCAATACAAATAGTAACGTATGTGGGGCATGCTGTACAAGTACGACAGTCGCCCGTGTACATGTATGTTAAAGAAACAAAGCTTCACTTTCATGAAATATATCACACGTTGGTGTTTTTTGTAAGGGATTGGGCGGTTCGGTTTGGGATAATACAATACAAGGAGCGAGTGAGTTGGGTTTCACGCCGCTTTTAACAGTACAGTAAACTACGGTTATAACGAATACGCTTATAACGAACTGACGGATATAACGAAGTTTCCTCTTTTGTCCCGACGAATTGCTGTAGTTATGCTGTATATGTGCATATAACGAACTACGGTTATAACGAACTAAAATTAGAAGTCCCTTTGAGTTCGTTATAAACGTTTACTGTATTCCAGTTATATCACGGCGTGTCAGCTTATTTTGGGAGGGCAGCCCAAAGTGATGCAGGTCTCAGACGTTTACCACTTCGGTGAAGCCCACGAGCACGGATATGGTGCTGACAAACCTAGAAACATAATCGGGGCGAACCGGGATGCGAACCCACAAACATAGGTGCCTGGTGTGCCCAAGGGACGCAACTCTGCACAGTGAATCGCGGGGCCTTAGACGACTGGGCATCCCGTCAGTTACTAAAGCGAGATCACCATACTAGGAACATGGGGACTTACAGTGCCTTTGCTTCCTGCATGGACCCCGGCAGGATTTATATCATCCCTTCTTTTTGTAAGGAGAGTTGTGAAGTGTGTGTGTATTACAGCTTCAAGTTAACGATGATGAACAACCAGATACATACTGAACAATGCCATCATACCTTTATGTGTATTCACGTTATCCTATTCTCGTCTACATCTGTTCTACTGACAACGTCTTGCTGTATTATCTACTTATCTGGTATTCATCGTCAAGGCGGAACTTGACAAGGCTACAGCCTTTGGTGTTTACATTTCACAACTTTTGAGATACAATCGAGCATATGATGCTCTTGCTCGGAAGTTGTTTGATCAAGGTTACAACATTCAAGGCCTCAGTGAAGCTTTCAACACGTTTTATGGTTGACATGTGGCGGACATTTCAGGACACGCCCACCTTTTCGAGAACTCCTGATATCATCACTATTTGATAGTGATTCATAAACGCACGCTCATGATGTAGTCGGAATCGTACAATCTATTGCATATGGAAGGGGTTTTGTCGTTTATTTATACAACAAGGCAGATGTCTTAGACACAGAAGTACGATGTATGCATATAATTTCTGATCGGATTGGCCAAAAGAAGGTAATTTGGCCAAGAAGTTATGCTTCGGGTATATAGATGACCTGATATATTCCCTTCCACTGATTCACTCACCTGAAGTAGAAATAAAGGAGACCAGTGAACCGCCTCATCTGTTTGGAATATTGCTGAATGCGGCGTTAAACAACAAACAAACAAACAAATCATTTTAGATCTAGGGATAACAATTCAAAGTGATAAACCACTCTCAACGAAACCGTATGACAAGAGGGAACAGGAAGAGATTTCTTATGAATGTGGAAAGGTTTTTTTCGCTTTTATTTGCAATGAACGAACATGTTTTGTAACGTTTAGTGTTATTCAGCCGTTAAATTCCCGTCACAGTCGCCTTGACATAGTTGGAGGTATGGACGGTGATACACAGGTAACCATCCTACTGAATTGCCGAAGTGGTTGAGTGAGTATGGTTTTACGCCGCCTGTAGCAATAGTCCAGCAAAATCACGGCGGGGGACACCAGAAATGGGTTTCAAACATTATTCCCATGTGGGGAATCGAACCCGGGTCTTCGACATAATGAGCGAACGCTTTAACCACTAGGCTACCCGACCGACCGCATCGCCGAAGAGTTAAGTCAAGGAGTGCGTACATTTTGTGTGTATTTTTGTGTGCAACATCATGATTAATGTCTAAGTGTACATTATGATAACATTTTATTCACTCACTTATCCTTTGTATTTATCCCGGTTCTCCATGACTGTGTCTCCAGGTGTGTCTCCAGGTGTGTCTCCAGGTGTGTCAGCAACACGTGCTCTCAGGTTTAACCACAGTGGTACACGTCCTAAGCCTGCATAACTTCGGGCTTTCTTCCCACGTCAAGCTGAGACCCAACTCTCTCACTTTATATCAACTGTCATGGTGTAGATTCTAAACACTGGTTATGGGTGATGGTTGTTTTAAGCCAGAGATTATTATGGACGGTCTTACTCACAGCTGCCCACGCCTTCGGTTCAAAGATTCAAACCATACCAATTTATATGTCTTGGAATTGTTTTGATTTTAATATATTTATTTAACAAATTTAAGGTTTCATATTCAACTTTTGCCATACTTTTTTGATGGAGTGAAATGTCCATTCCGGTTTAGATATATATGTAAGTCATTTTTTATGGAAAAGAACGTTTGAGGTGTGACTTTTTCGTTTTTCACAACAAGCAATAAAACTTCGTCAATCAACTGTCTCTGTTTAGGTAAAAGGTTTGTTTTGAACACAACAGTCTGTAAAACTTCATTTTCCAAAGGGTCACTCGTGACCCATTCGTCTTAAGCTCCGAAATTCGCTTATGCGTGCCAGAAATCCATGATCGTGGGTTCATATCCAATATGCCCCGATTATGTTTCCAGATTTGTCAGCACAATACCCGTGCTCACGGGTTTCCCTGAAGTAATAAACGTCTAAGAGCTACACCACTTCGGACTTCCTCACACATTAAGCTGACATGCCGTAATGTAACTGAAATACCATTCAAAACAACGTTAAAACAAAACTCACTCACTCACCCAACATATCACATAGTTTTTACAAATTGTCAATCATTGATGTAGTAGGTGTTAATTCTGCAGCTTGTAAATATGTAAGTATTTTTAGTGTAGATAAGGTATCATGTCTTTTATATTTTAGCTTGTTTGATTCAACAGAGGGTTGTGTCATTTCCTGGTTTCCTATATATCTATCATTAGTTGTGTCCTTATCAGTATTTGCTACTGATAAGCTTCTACTGGGACAAAGGTGTCCTCCCATTAGTTAGACGTCCCAATAGTTAGACATCTTATAACAACACTTTAAACGGTTGAGTGCACACTAATCCTTATGCTTGTTACCTCAGACTTTAAAATGGAATAGTCCAGATAAGATCTGACAAACAAAGCAAAGCAGCTTTAAATAGATACTTTAATATTATTCTTAACATTTAATGACACTTTACATTTGATAAATGTTATACAGTTTGTAACAAAACTTTGTGACAGTTTTTAGTAATGTTCACTTTACATTTATAACTTTTACAGTTTATTTATCCCAGACGAAGCAAGTGTCCACAAGCATCTAAATCCTCTCTGGCGGTTCTCTGTCTCTCTGTAGATTCTCTTGCGGCAGCGTGGTGCCGCACCAAAGTTCAGGTGCATCACCTTAGTCCTTTCACTCAACTCAACTTTCTGGATGACTTCAATGAATCTGTAGATGTTAGGGTGAACATGTGGCAGTAGGTATATAGTTACTGCTACTTTACTTCCAATGGTGTTTTGTTCTATTGTTTGTTCAATCATTAGGTTTTCATGTTGTTAGCCAATTAGTATACCTTTCAATTCAAATCCCTCTCTCACCTGCCATTGATAATCTTATGCTGCACACACACCTGCACTTCACACCAATTCACAATGGATTAAAGATCAAGTGATCAAGGTTAGTCATCATCATTACTAAACATTATGCTTTTATCAATCTAAACATTATGCTTTTTTATCATAAATTTAAATGAAGTACATAAGTAATAAAATAGGTTTTAAATAACTTGTAAACATCAACAAACGACAGGCTGAGTGAATGAGGTGAGTGTGATGAGATTAGGGTCTGATTAATGAGTATTACTTATCTATGCATATATTTTATATTTCAATGCATTGGTAATTTGGTATTTTGGTATTTGATGCATATTTGCTATTTTTAGTAAATCTTGTGTATTTCTAGACATTGTACATATCTCTCTAGATGTATGCATGTATTTATTGATAGTGGTATGAATGACTGAAGTTGGATTTCAGTGATGCATGTATATGTCTCAATTATTTATATGTCATTTACAATATTATAATTAATATTGTAGCTGTATTTGGGGTCATGTGACTGTCGAATGAGACGAAGACTGGCAGAAGGCATGTTACACTCTCGTGTCACACACAGGGTATGTTTTGTATATAGTTTATCTATATAATATGTTCATGTCGTGCATCCATTATGCGTGATATGATTGTCTGATGATTTAATGATTTCCTCAGTTATGCGTTTAATAACTTGTAATTATATTGTCTTTGTATATAAAGGTACATCTGCACTGATTAGATATCGAGGCAGAAATATATTTGTGTATCTGCTGTAATGGTGTTATGATATATTAAGAAGAAGATCGATACTTTACATTTAATGTGTTATTATGCATTGATTCTGAAACAAGTGATATATTGTGATTTTAAATTGTTTCAGGAGTGTCTTCTTCAGGCCTTGCTGAATAAAACTGATATTCTCACAAACCCGTGGACACTGCACGCACTGCACTGTAGAATAACAGACACTGCACTGTAATCACAATATCCCCACTACACTGGTCACGACTCCGGCATGTACACACTGACTGTAGCATAACAGACACTGCACTGTAATAACAATATCCCCACTACACTGGTCACGACTCCGGCATGTACACACTGACTGTAGAATAGCAGACACTGCACTGTAATAACAATATCCCCACTACACTGGTCACGACTCCGGCATGTACACACTGACTGTAGCATAACAGACACTGCACTGTAATAACAATATCCCCACTACACTGACCACGACTCCGGCATGTACACACTGACTGTAGCATAACAGACACTGCACTGTAATAACAATATCCCCACTGCACTAATCACGACTCCTCATTTTACAAACTGTTATCAAGTCCGCGATATTTACACGAGGTGAGGTAAAGTGAGATGGAGTTTAATGTCGCATTCAAAGTTATTTCGACATGCATGTACGTGTGTGTATGGCTGCTTGTACTCGACTGTACTTATGCCGGTTACATAATACAAGCCCATTGAGATACCACCCGACCTGGACACATCATAGCCGACCAGTGCTGTTGTATCCCCTTAATCTCGTTCATCCACTACACAGCGGAGGCGGTCGATAGTTACACCAGGAAGTATGGCGTCAGTAACGTTAATCTCAATCTCATTAAAATCAAGCGGTAGCGAGAACTAAGATCTGATTTTAATTAAATTGCGTAATCCCTCCCGTATGACTTCCATTAAGTTTGTTTGTTTGTTGTTTAACGCCGAACTCGGCAATATTCCAGCTATATGACAGTGATCTGTAAATAATCGAATTAGGACCATACAATCCAATGATTGACATCATGAGCATCAATCCACGCAATTGGGGTACGATGACATGCGTCAACTAAATCAGCCAGCGTGACCACCCGATCCCGTTAATCGCCTCTTACGACAAGCATGGGTTGCTGAAGACCTATTCTACCCCGGATCTTCAAGGGTCGACTTCCATTGAGAGAACACGACGTCTTTGCAACACGTCGTTAAGTGCATTTTTGGTAAACTAACATCCACATTGTCTGGCGCCTTCACTTAAGCCAGCACAAACAATTTCCTCTTGACATTACTCCATGAAATGTGATCTTACATCTGTACATCAAAGCGACAAAACCATTTCCATAATCATATGAAATCTTTCGTGTGAATTCATGGTACAATTCCGACTATATCATGAGCATTTATTAACGACTCAAATATTGATGATAGCAGGTGTTCGCGAGGTGAGTGTATCCTGCCCTACTGCTGCCACACATCCCAAACACATGCACAGGAAAGTCAAAGGTTCACCTGAAAAATCACGAGAACATAGGTACGTGTCACAATAGGGAAGGGCATGGGACATGTCACTGATGTGTCAAATTTGGAAGTGTCCTCCTGTCTAACATGAACATTTCTGAAAACGTTACTTATGCCAAGAAAGATGCAACCCCGATCAAACAACTTTTGAGCAATGTCATATAAAATCTTCATAGAACATTATAGTATCAGTAGTACATGATATGATGACGTGATGCATAGATAACAACAATAGAGAAGTATCGTGACAACGAAGGGAATCATTTTGCTTGAAAAATAGAACATTTCACATATTGTTTTATCAGTAAACCTATCTATGGTGAAGACGTTTAGTGACAACTGGCTCATGGACCAAGGAATTAAGTTTTTCCTTACGTGTGTCGTGTGGGGATAGTGGTATATGAAATGTCAAATGGTTTGACATTAATGGAAGTTTCTTTTCTGAGACTGCACTCAATTCAAGCAAATCATTGAAATTTTTTTAAATCACATAGTATTACGTCTACTCGTCTCACATACACTATACAGAAAGTCCTTCCTTGATTGTATTGAGGATCATGGTTAATCTTTGAGACAGGGATTTGGTGGTATATTTCTTGGATTTGAACAATACATCTTTGTATGGATTTGTAAGTCGCCAAACCAGTATATAGTCAATTATGACTCTTGAATGAAATATATTTGCATAAGCACACATCATAAAATCATACATTTTACGCTTGTATACCTGCTAATGAAAGACCAACCCAGAACGTAATGTTGACATTTTCCATCTTGAAAATAATTAAGGAGTCTAATGTGAAACGTGTCTTTATAACTTTATATTTATGTTTCGAGATAACTAAGTTCAAGGCAACGATATGGACATTATTTTCAATCAAAACACAAATGGTGACACAAAGCAATATGGCTGAAGCGTATGGTTGGTTGGTTGGTTTGTTGTTTAACGCCGCACTCAGCAATGTTCCAGCTATATGACGGCGGTCTGTAAATAATCGAGTCTTGACCAGATAATCCAGTGATTGATATCATGAGCATCGACCCACGCAATTGGGATCGATGATGCATCAACCGAGTCAGCGAACCTGACCACCCGATCCCGTTAATCGCCTTTTACGACAAGCATAGTCACCTTTTACGGCAAGCATGGGTTGCTGACGACCTATTCTACCCCGGAATCTTCACGGGTCCTGAAGCGTAGGGACGGCGATTGCAATCACATTATACATTTTGACCATTGGTTTAGTCCTCCGTGGTACAGTAGAGCAGCAATGTCAACGTGTTCCTCTGACTGTACAGGGCGCAGAGGGCGCGAGACACTCTACATTGACCCACATTATACACCGCAGAAAACCCACTGCACCCGAGCCATGGCCACAGAGCAAATCTAAATGTACGTAACTACTGTATACTACTCCGGACTATGACTCACACCATTACAGCATGACGAGAATTATATCTAAAGGAGCTGAAACCCTATCTGCTCTCTAAATCGGTACGAACGGAGTTTGTCGGGAGTACTCTTACACCACCTGCTCTCTTACTGCGTGTCTGGCCGAGTTTTATTGCACTCAAGCAGGATCAGGGACAGAAACAGTTAAACAGTCAATATGGATATTTTATTTGTTTATTGTTTAACGCCGCACTCAGCAATATTCCAGATATATGACGGCGGTCTGTAAATAATCAAGTCTGGACCAGACAATCCAAGGATTGATATCATGAGCATCGATCCACACAATTGGGATACGGTGACATGCATCAACCAAGTCAGCAAGCCTGGACGTAATAGACGTGTTCCTACTAACGGGATCGGTTGGTCACGCTCGCTGACTTGGTTGATGCATGTCACCGTATCCCATTTGCGTAGATAGATGCTCATGATGTCAATCACTGGATGTTTTGGTCCAGGATCGATTATCATACAGCTTGAATATTGCTGAGTGTGGCTTTAAACAACAAAATAGAAACCTGCGATGTGTGTTCTACATCTGATTGGGAAGGAGTTCACGGACGAGTGCCATCTATCTGGCTTGGCTCTGTTGTGTTGTTATTTGTCTGGAACTGCCGTGAGGTATGTCCCTGTGTCTGTACTATACGGTTCGCTGTAGGTGTGGTCTACATCTGATTGGGAAGCAGTTCACGGACGAGTGCCATCTATCTGGCTTGGCTCTGTTGTGTTGTTATTTGTCTGGAACTGCCGTGAGGTATGTCCCTGTGTCTGTACTATACGGTTCGCTGTAGGTGTGGTCAACATCTGATTGGGAAGCAGGTCCAGCACGAGTGCCATATGGCTTGGCTCTGCTGTGTTGCTGTTTCTCTGGAACTGCCGTGAGGTATGTCCCTGTGTCTATACTATACGGTTCGCTGTAAACACCGACAGTATCCCCAGGACAGATAACCTTGTTCTCGTGGAGACATCCTTGTCTTGTACCGATGGTGTTCACGTACGTGTGATTACTTTCAGCAGCTTCAACAACTCTCTGTTTTACATCTTTGATGCCCGCTTCATCAGCAGATGGACGACGCTTACATCCTGTTAAATACAATCCTGGTTAAGTCGCTGGTTTACACTATTTTGCTGAGGCTAACTGTAAATATTATGGGATCTTCTTCGTTTCTTCATGTTGTTCAAAGAATAGAACATGAATCCATTTAATGGGGGGTTGTGTGAATACCGGTAAGTAACCTTTCGAGAGGACAATGGATTCACTAGACTCACTAGGCCCATAGACTATCCCATTACACAACATAATTCGGTGACAGATGTGGCTTGATTTCAGCCCAAAATCAAATATTAACCAATATATATATTGAGCATGTAAACATGTGGTGTATATATACTGTTTCAGTAATTTCAATATCAGCAACTCACCATCCGAACACGTCACTGATCCTGACAGTGCCGAACTTTCTTTAGGTGTTTTCCATATTCCTTCAACAGCTTTGAAGATTTGAAAACTTTGGTTAGTATCCATAGCAAAAACACCTTCACCAGATGAAGATCTTCGTCCTGCTTCAAACTGGAATGAATGACTAGTTACCCCATATCTTCGGATAGTATTGTAAGGCCATTCATAAAGGACGTGCGAAGATGTGAGATCGCACAGGCACAAACTTGAATCCTTCACCATGAGGTGATACGCCCCTTTGAGATGGCATCTCTTGGACGTCTCCTGTTCTCCGCTGATATGGACTCTGAACATAGTATCTAGATCAACCACGAACAAGCTCGTCGAGATTATATTTTCACAGTCAAAAAGTATTAACTTCCCTCTTCTCCGTTTGCTTAACGTTGGATTGGATGCCAGCCAAGACTAGATGTCAAGGTCAATGCGTCCGCTAACATTGATCTGTGAAAAGCTTATGTCCACATAAAGTTATTTACAACCCGAAGTAATAGTTAGATGTCATGTCCCCTGTCGTGCATTGTTGGGGCGTTGTCCTGATGTTCCTACACAGGCTACAGAAGTGTCACAAGAAACATTGGTTTAATGGCTAGCTTTTGACAACGACCTATAAAAGCGTGGGTGCCGGAATAACCAGACTGAGTTAGTCCTGTTGTGTAATCTTTATTGTAGAGTGAGTGAGTGAGTTGGGTTTAACGCTGCTTTTAACAGTATTCCAGTTATATCACGGCGTGTCAGCTTAATGGTGGAGGAAAGCCTGAAGTGATGCAGGTCTTAGACGTTTACCACTTCGGTGAAACCCATGAGCAAGGGTATGGTGCTGACAAACCTAGAAACATAATCGGGGCGAACCGGGATTCGAACCCACAATCATAGGTTTCTGGCGTGTCCAGGGGACGCAACTCTGCACAGCGATCGCGGCGCCTTAGACGACTCGGCCACCCGTGCCCCCTCTTTATTGTAGAACATGAACTTGGTATATGTTCGATTTAATGGTGATGTTTTCAGAAAACCTGCATTCTACAGTCCATTTTATGTTAGCTTCCCTGTAGGGATGCTGGAATAGGACCCCAGTAGCTCAAAAGTGATGACTAAAGTGGGGATCGGGTGGCCAGTGTCTGTGAGATTGCTGATTCGTCGGTTTTGTAAATCGAGGGCTTGGGTCGTTCTACTTCCTCTCATTCACAGGTTTGTCAACTCTGGACAACCGACCGTGACATATCAGGAATGTTCTTAGTAGGGAGTCCGTTATTTATGAATCCCACCGTTGTTGGTGCCTGCAGGGGCACGTTTGAACCGACATGTGCATATGAGTTAGAATCACGAGTCAGGCATGCACATACATGTAGCCACTGTATATGTCAGAGGCCGCGTTTGAGGACACTCCGCCGTGATATTGCTGGATAAGCGCTAAAAGCAGAGAGAGAGAGAGAGAGAGAGAGAGAGAGAGAGAGAGAGAGAGAGAGTCCAGATATTCGTGCTTGTCAAAACTCCTTTATCCACAGGAGATCTTTCGCCGTTCAAGGCTCTTGAGGTGTAAAGAAAACTTTAACTTACATTGTAGTCCTAGGCTACTGTTATGCGTCGCCGTCGCCTAGGACTACAATGTAAGTTAAAATTTTCAAGCACGAATATCTGGACTCTGTTTTTTCTATATTCAATACTTATACACCTGACGAAATCCCTTGTTTACAAACTCCCTCCTCATAACATCGGCATGCCAAAATAAGCGCCCCTTCAACTTCTCGCACCCGTGACTACCTCGCTATGTATGTCAACACCTGTACTAGTTAAAACATATAACATTCAATAAATAGTGAGTGTAATTGTCTTTTTATTTTTTAAATATGTATAGCATGTCAGACTGGCTATTGGAGACAGTTCATCTTTTATCAGGTGTGTAATCACATGACAAATGGGTATCAAATACCTTTCATATTTTTTTAGTTCCGAAAGCCCTATCACTGACTGAGTTGTCACGCAAAGGGGAAGACGTCGGTTTACAAGTTACCCTTCTTATCTCAACAATTTGTAAAGAAAGAAGTAAGTTACACAAAGGGTGGGGTGACTCTGTATTGATTGCTAGTGCATTCGCCCGGTGACATTCTCCTCAACTGTACCTGCTTTATGGTATAAAACTAGGCCAACAGTCTTTGTGAGCGTTGTCAGCGTGAACACTTGAATCGACAATGTATGCATTCAATACGGTGTAAGAGTATTAGTGTGTGGGTTGGGGTTATACTTTCTTGGGCACACGGGTGGCCAAGTCCTCTAAGTTCTCTCACTACGCTGTGTAGAGTGGTCTCTAAGTGTGCAAGGATCCATTGACGGTGGGTTCGAATCCCTGTTTATGGTTTGACTACGATTATAGTTTGTCAATATCATACCGGTTAAATATATGACTAAATACTATTCATAACGGGGGTGAACAAGGCAATCGACGTTTTAAAACTGTCCCCATAGTTAATCTTATTCCCGTGAATTATGAACCAACAAGATGTATGTTGCCTAATCTGGCACAATATCGTATTTATTGATTTCGTTGAAACTAAAAACGACAATGCTGTCATGTTAATTCTGATTTACATCGGCTGTGTACAAGTGCAGAGGCGTTTTGTTGTTTATAAGTCGAGAAAAACATTTAAGAAATATACAGAAATATCAATTAAATAATGTCTCAAATCACACATGTTTCATACACTTATAACTCTTTACAAAACAATAACATGGATGTTAAATGTATAAAACTGTCTTACTCGAAGTAAACAAATTGTTGAACACAAGCCATATCTGTGCTTGTAGACCTCTGCGGCTTGAAACCTTTCCCCAAATTAAAAAAGTTGGATTTGGCCGAAATATGTTTGAATTGTTACATTGTTTCGTTTTGTCGCTGTGTGTACATCCGATTGCACTTCTTAAATTTATGACAGGACAGACCGACTGTCAACAACGTCTGAACGTGGCCGTGACGTCCCATAGACTAGGGTTAGAGTAGCTTCCCTTTGACAAAGGGCAGTTACTCTAGCGGACAGACCGATGGATTGCCGCGAAATGCAAGTAAAAGCAATATTATTGTTGTTTTGCGTATATGTTGCTTCGCCACTGTATAAGAAACAGATTTCAGTTGGAACTATATTAGCTACCGTCACTGTCCGACTGACACATCACTTACCCTGTGACGTAATAAATATTAATGCGCGCATTCCAGGAAAACTCGCAATGTTTAGGTAATGTTTGTGAGAGAGGGAAAGCGATTTTTTTCAAGCACAGAATTATAGAATGACATTATATGATAAAGAGGTTATCACGCTTGTGTGTTTGGGGATGGGGATTATTGCGAGTAAATATCCTGTATTAGGAATAAACACTATGCATTTAGCTCGTCAAGGCTCGTTAAATACAATGTTTATCCTTAATGCTGGATATTTACCATCCCCAAACACACTCGCGTGATAACCTCTATTGATTTACTAATCGCAACACCTCCCTGAAACGTACACGGGGTGTAATCAAATCACATCACATCACAACGGGAGGAAGTGTCACAATCACAGTTATCTCATCTGTAATATGTAGCCGTAACAGGGTGAAAACGGTTTAAAAGGATATTCGGTCATGGGTGTTCATAATGAACAATAACTTACCTTATAAGTAACATTTAGAATATTGTTAAACTATGAATCCTGCTCCTTACTCTGAGACAATTGTGACAGTTTTGCAACGATATCCGTACCTGCTTCAGGTCTTCGGCAACCTATGTTGATCGTACCAGGCGACTAAATAGATTGAAGTCAGGTTCGGGAGATTGTTTGTGGATGCCGTGGATTGTTACTTGGGATCTCAAGCTCTGAGTTGTCCGGTCCACACTCGATTATGTACAGGTTGCTGGAATATTGCTGATTATGGCGTTAAACAGAAGACAAACTTTCTTAAAAAAAATTTCAACGGGCCCTGGTCAGTGTGTTAAATATTTCAAGGGAACGTTTACAAAAGTACATATAAAATAAACTTGTATTGCGTTTTAAATGTGTCGACATTTGTATCATATTGTATTGATTTATCATACCAATGAAATGTCAACATTGTCAACCGATCTTTTGTTGTAAGGTCAAGGTTTTTGCAGGTGACAACATAATCTAAGGGGTCTATCTAATCTATATAGAATGATACAATTTATTAACATGTTGTCATGAAGCATATTATAGCATATTAGTTAATTTGTTTATTAGTTTGAATTTGCTTTGAAAGTAATATACTCCGAGCATGGAACTCTAAGTAACAGATTATCTTAGTCAGAACAGAACATATACATGCCATTGAGACACGTGTCCAAATTCAATGTCATAAAGAATGCGCATGGGGTTAGTGAGGTTGAGGAGATGAAGTGATGCAGGTCGTTGGTGTTCGAACACTTTGGTGAAACCATGCGCACGGTAGCTATGGTCATCACTTCGACCAATCTAGGATTCGAATTATCAGTGTCTACCTTCGCCTCTTACAATCAGACAAGAGAGCAAGCAATGCTTGTAAGTCAGTTGGTTTAGCAATGTTTATTTAACAGGGGGAAAGTACCTGATATTTGTAAAGCTATGTGGTCACGTATAGTTATATCGTATGACACCAATGTCCTAACTCTTAAAAAACTAGAGTATCGATTCCCGCCGTAACGAACAGATGTCCTGCAGTAATACTGGTAACACATACTTCATGCGTTCTCATACAAGTCATATACGTTTTCCCGTCTTATGCTTGGCTGATGTCTTGGATTCAGATACTGAGGGTCACAGCAGGTAGAATCGGCAGACGCTGATGGGCCGCCATCCTTCTGACCTGGTTTGCATCCTAAATAAACAATAAATGCAATCACCCCAGAAAGTGTATGTTGTGTTCTAATGGAAAGGTATTTTTATCGTCTTTTCGGTGTATGTCTTAGGCCGGCCGTTTACATTTACTGTTCTTTGGTGGGGGGGGGGGGGGGGGGGGGGGGGGGGGGGGGAGCCGTTTTGGATTTTATAGAAAAAAACATAGTGAATATATTCAGGCTCATTATTAAATCAATCAAATATCTGGCCTTGCAGCTGTAAATAGTTGTCAAAACCAAATTCCCCCAAAACATTACTCAACGTGAAGTCATCACTGATTTGTAAATATCCACAATCTCTCACGCGCAAACCTCTATTATACACCTGTCAGTTTTTAAGGATCTATTTCCGTTCCTTATTATGTAGAGTCTGCTTGTGTGTCTCGTCAATAATCTATCATTCTCTACAGACTTTTTATAGTTATTCAACACCTTCTCGTCAGTATTGGGCAATCAGTCTTACCTTCAGCGTCCTTCATTTGTGTGACTTTCTGGTGGACAGCATCATAGATTGCTCCGCCCTCTTTCGTCTTCAAATGAAATACACCTTCTCCAGAGACTGTGGAGCGCCCACATTCAAATATGAAGGCATTTTCCGTCTTCCCGTAGCCTCTAATACACGCGTACATTCACTCACAGACGATCTTGTTCCCTTTGGGTTTAAACAGACACAAACTGGTATCAGTAACATAAAGTTTATAGGATCCTTTGAGATCGCACTTCTTGGACGTCTCATCCTTTCCTGAAAAGCTGATTCGAAACATTTGGCAGTGTTCCTTGTCACTTATAGTTCCTTAGTCAAAATCCCAAAATGTCCATGGCGAAATGAAATGTCAAAACAAGTCGTTCAAAGTGTCCTCACAGTAATCACATTCACGTCTTTATCTCTCGAAGTATTAAATACACCCGAACACACTGAATAATGCAGGCCAATTTGAAATCATGCTTCCGTATGATCAACAAGCATGTCAGGGCCCATGCTGATAGAATTGTTGCGCAGTTTTCTTTCATTCAGTTGTAGCTGTCGGCCATAACGAGGCGTAAACGATGGGCTGTGTACCTGCATGTATTCTCCTTCCTGCATGGATAATATGATATCATTCCAATGATTTTTCTGTCAACAATTCGTGTCCCAGAGAAGGAACAAAATCTCTTTTTCAGCATTTAGATCGATAGTTTTTCGGTGTTAGATACAAAGAGTATAGCATATCTGTTTTGTGACTAAACCATGAGGATCTAGTGTTTCGTGACCATGAGACGTGGCCAAGATGTCGAGTTTGTTGACAAAGGTATTGACGACGGGAGTTTTGTCTGTATGTTGGAAGTGATACTATGACCAGTGCATCAATCCACGCATATCATGAGCATCGATCCACGCAGTTGGGTTGGTTGGTTGGTTGGTTGTTTTACGCCGCACTCAGCAATATTCCAGATATATGACGGCGGTCTGTAGATAATCTAGTCTGGAACAGACAATCGAGTGATTGACATCATGATCATCGATCCACGTAATTGGGATCGATGACATGCTTTAACCAAGTCAACGAGCCTGACCACCCGATCACGTTAGTTGCTGTTCTCGGCAAGTATGGGTTGCTGAAGACCTATTCTACCCTAGATTTTCACGGGTCCTTCATCTCATGTTAAGACAGAAGGACCCTTGCGTTATTCTAGCCAGAAGTTTATCGTGCAGCATACTCTTGGTAGTTCCGAACGATTTGGCTGTTGACCTAAAGACCGTAAAGATGTGAAAGATCGTAACACAGCTCGTTACAACGTTACAACGCTCGTCATCTCCCTTTGACCGTAAGTAAATGGCTTTGGAGTTAATGACATCAATACCTCGTTTTAGGTTTTCCGTTGAATACAACGATGTTGTCCATCCTCAGTTCATTTTGTACTAAGCCTAGAAAATAAATATATTATGTTAGATGCGAAAATCCCTATAACATGAAAGCAAAACAACAGTCGGAATAATCAATATTATTATTATGGTCAGCTCGGGATTCAGTTGGGTAATATCAAATATTTAGAAATATATAGCGGGTGGGTTAGATCTCGGTTTGGGGGCGGCTGACGTAATACCTACCTTTGTAGTCCTTCTAGTAGAAGACCGCCTCCGTGGTCTCGTGGTAGAGCGTCCGCCACCAGATCGGAAGGTCCGGGGTTCGACCCCCTGCCGCGTCATACCTAAAGACGTTAAAAGATGGTACTTGTTGTTACCCTGTCTGACGCTCGGCTTTAAGGGGCTAAAACAAGGACTGGTCGGCTCGGAGTCAGTATACTGTGTCTGAGTGGGGTATTCATGTTCAACTGTGGCATGGTATCTCAGTGGGCTAGGACTAGTACAAGCAGCCACATGCACAAACGTGCATGCACGTCGCTATATAAGTGCAATAATCTTGGACGTGACGTTAAACCCCATTTCATCCACCTCACCTTGTAGTAGAAGATTATACCCACGCGGGCGTAGTTGAATGAAGAGACGTGAAGATGGCACGCTCTTTGCATGCTCCGCAAGGTAGAAGCCATGATTGAGAGAGCCGAGATGTAAGGAGCGTGTTCATTGGTTGTGTCCGTTTTCCTGGTCACATGGTCCTCGCGTCTGCTATATAAGCCTACCCTGGGCACCATCCTGTGTGCGAAATACGCATCAGTCGGAAAGCGCACGTTAAATCTCCAAAGTGAGTAAGTGAGCCCTGTGTGCGACATACGCTGTTAGTCTGAAAGCGCACTTTAAGTCCCCAACCTCAGTCAGTCAGGAAATCGTCAGTCGTCCTTTCACCAGCATCTGGGGATCATAAATAGCCGACCCACGTATCCTGAACCAAGACCTCTTTTGTTACCTTTTTTACTGTGGATTAGCAGTTCGTTTTCTTTTGTTTGTGTAGCCGGGCGTGGTGCGTTGTGTCCAGCCACTGGGCTGATAGTTATAACATGAGGCAGTTCTTGGTAGTGGTGAGATTTATTCAGTTTTGTCAGATGATGGGAGGGAAGCTGGAAAGACGAGTCCTCCCTCCATAAAGAGTTCATGCAGAATAATATAATTTAACTGAAGCCAAAAGGAAACGATTATATACTGAACCGCAAAAGAAACGTCACCCAATTAACATTGCATGAAAAGTTGTCAAGTAAATATCTGGGCAATTTTTGTCAAAGTTTCTAAAATTTAACATTACCTTGTCCGGAAAAATGAAATGTGATGACAAAAAAAACAAAGCAGATGACAATAAAACCGATCGCCCAAACACATCACGGCAACGGCCATGGTAACCCGATGCTCGTGGGTTCCATGCAAATTGAAATGCACATGCGTTCCCCCATTTCTTGCCCTATAAAAATCCACCCACATCGGATAACATGCATTCGTTATTGAATTGCTACCACATGCCAAGATTGACAAGAAATCAGCGACATCAATCCGTTGGACGATTGCCAATGCATTTCAAGTCCACGTAAGGACCATATACAGGTACCAGACCACCAACACTACAGATGAACGACCACGTAGTGGAAGACCAAGGGTCATCGCCCGACGTCAGGATCGTCAGATTGTGTGACAGCATCTTCAAGATCTGCTCGTCAGACCGCGGAGACACACCAGCGACACATTAGTGTGGACACCGTGCGTCGACGATTGACGAGCAGGCACCTCCACTTTCACAGGTCACACCGAGGACCCATTCTGACACCACGTCATCGCCGGGACCGTCTTCAGTGGGCAACACAGCACCAGCATTGGCGCCACCAGCACTGGAGAAAAGTCCTCTTCTCAGACGAGAGCCGTCACTGTATCTCATCAGCAGATGGCAGAGAGAGAGTCTGGCGACGCCATGGGGATCGTTATTCGGATGCTTGTGTTGTTGAGAGAGTCGGCTGGCCCGAGCATCATGGTGTGGTGTGGAATTGGTCTTGCACAGAGGGTCAGCCCTGTGATCTCCCAGAACATCGGTCCAAGGAGATGCAATGGTGTCACAGCAGCTCGGTACATTGATCAAGTCCTGAGACCACACGTTATACCTAATTTAGCACGTCGCCGAAACCACGAGTTTCAACATGATAACGCCCGTGTCCACACTGCGAGAGCAACAAGAGACTTCCTCCAGCAGAATGGCATCAGAACAATGCAGTGGCCAACCCTCAGTCCTGATTTAAATCCCATTGAGCACCTGTGGGACGAGATTCAAAGACGGCTGAATGACGTCCGACCAAGGCCGACAACTGCAGCTGAACTGCGTCAGGCCTTCCTCAGAGTGTGGGCTCAAGTGCCTATGGCCTTCATCAACCGCCTAATCCATTCCATGTATCGACGTTGCACGGCAGTCATCAATGCACAAGGCGGACACAAGAGATACTGACTTGTGATGCCAGTTTCTCAGAGACTACTGTTGTGTTTCACTTTAAGAACATTTTACACTTTAATTTCAACCTTGATGATCAGTTTTTAATGTGTCTCAAACTATGTTTACATTGTTTGGACAAATAAGGTTTCTCATACATCTATCCATGGTGACGTTTCTTTTGCGGTTCAGTATAATTTATATTGGTCAATGGGGTAGCACATGGTTGAAGCATATGGTTGAAGACCACGTGCTCAATATATGTAACATAAATGTGTAAACTGGCAAATATTAAGATATAACACATCAAATAATAATGTAATTGAATATATTTTACTTTAATGAAAAGCTGTGACACCCTTTCTATGAATATATTTGTTTCCAGAGCAGGATGGAAAGTGATAAGAATATTGAAATGTTTCTCACCTGGAAAGAAGAGTCCTCCCTCCATAAAGATTTCATGCAGAATGCATGGGGAGGGCAGGTGAGAAAGGAAGTTGAAAGAAGTGGACCAAAGAGCCAATCAGAAGAAAGGTAGCATCTCACGGGTATTAAGGAAAGTCAAGATGCTTCACAATGACATGAAGTGCTGGACATATCTAAAAATAGATTGGGGGACTCCAGGTGAACCTGGAGAAATCACAGAGGCTGGAAAAGGGTATGAAAAGGTTGATGTCAGTTGGCTGACGTTCAACTGCAGACAAGGACAACATATAATGAACACAGCATGGAGTGATGGTGATAATTGATGAAAATGTATGTATATACACTTCAAAAAAAGAAACTTGACATAGATGTAAAACCACTTTTTGCCAGTTATCTGATTCCAACTAGGTCTGAGGGAGTTTTTTGAAGAGTATATATATATATTTATATATAATGAATACTAGGGGTTATGAGAGGGTGGAACTTATGTGGCTAACTCATTCAGAGTTAGCACCACCACCCGGCTAGATTTGGGGTATCGTTTTTCTCAGGTTTGTGTTAGTTATGGGTGAGGGAGAAATAGAGTAGGAATTAGGAAAGAATTATGTAGGTTTGAATGGTATTACGTACGAAGGATATCAAGGATGAAGGTTTGCCCCCTGTTGTTGATTTTGTTGAAATAAACTTTACATTAAACTTCATTCCTGTTTTGTATTATTATCTATAATTAGAATTGATAACGGGAATGAGCCTTACAGCCAAAGAATACTGCATAGGGAGTAGGGAACACAGGGCAAACCACTGCAGTAAATATCTGACATTTGCCCAACATCTATATTGTCCTGCTGTCAGTGGGCGCCCATTAGAGGGCGCCTACTACAGATTTGGTGCCGAGACCAGGATCCGGCTATACTTTCAATTTCTAGTTATAGTCTTTTTTTCTGAAAACTAAATTAAAAATTAATACAGGTGAAAGTATGTCAGAAGGATTAGGTTTACAATTAGCCTCTTACAATTAGATTAGAGAACCAACCATGCTTGTAGGATTAACAATGTTTCATCAATGTTTATTTAACAGGAAAAGTACCTGATATTTCTATGTGGTCATGTAGGTTTGGAAGAAGACAACCTCTTATAAATGACATTAAAATATGCAATGGTCATTTTTAGGATCCTTCTAAATCTGTTTCGTATTGTATTGTAAAGTAAATTTCATCAGTTAACATATCTATGCTTATAAGTCATCCCTATAATCACTCTCTTCATGCGTTCTCATTCATTTCATATACGTTTTCCCATCTTATGCTTGGCTGACTCAGCAGGTGGAATCTGCAGTCGCTGATGGGCCGCCATCCCTCAGACCTAGTTTGCAACCTAAATAAACAATAAATGCAATCACCTCAGAAAATTACATTGTTGCAAGGTGTCTTGAAAATTTATTCAGGCTCATAGTTTTAACTAAAATAATGTCTGACCTTGCAAAAAACCCACACATTACTTATTATTAGCACTGATTTGTAAATATCAAAATCTCTCACGGGAAAACCTCTATTGTACACCTGTCAGCTTTCATAGATTTATTTCCGTTCCTAATCAAGTAGAGACTGATTGGGTTGCTATTTCTCATTCCCTACAGACTTTTCATAGTTATTCAACACCTTCTCGTCAGTATTTGGCAATCAGTCT